ACAGTTGCAGTATCCTGGGATCATGTGACCCCCTTTTGTGACTTTCCGACAACCAAAGTCAATGGGGAAGCCAGATTCATTAACAATCAAGTTACTAACTTACCAACTGCAATGATTCACTTAGGTCATCAAATTAGGCAAAATTCGCTTAACAAACGTCTCACTTAACCACAGAAATTTTGGGCTCAATGGTGGACATAAGTCGAGCACTACTTGTACTTTCATGTAGGATTTGTGCATTTAATAGATGCAAACCCCGCTGTATATTGTATCCATATATTACATCCAGAAAGAAATCTTTTAAAAAATGTTTTCATGAGTTAAATGCCACTCAGTTTTGCTGGAAACCCATGAGCTCTGGTAAGCAATACAGAAGAACAGTGTTTGAAGATGTGGATGTCAACTCCCAGAATTCCCCAGCCAGAATGCATTCTGAGAGTTGAAGTCCACACATCTTGAAGTTGCCAAGATTGACAAACACTGCAATAGAAGTCCACTCTTCTTGAGAGACACTGCAGTTGAAACTGCATCATCACAGTTAAAGTCCAAACATCTTAAAGTTGCCGAGACTGAGAAGTTGAGAAAAACTACAGTAGAATTACTGCAGTAGAAATCACTACTATGAGCAACACAGCAGTAGAAGTAAAGAAGTACTGTGGTAGAACACTGTGGTAGAAGTTGCCAAGGTTGAGAAGTCCTGCAGAGAAACACTATCCAACCACTTCTCCTATATAACATTGGATGTATCATAAACCTCTTTTTAGATATTATTTTCACCTTCCAAGCTAAAAAGTGCAAATAGCAAGAATAACATTTATGCTTATATATCATACCGCATTGTAAGCCACCCTGAATCTCCGGAGAAGGGCGGCATATAAATCAAATTTAAAAAAACCCCAAACCTATAGTACTTTATTGCATTCTTGGCTGTTTAAAATGTAGAAGCATTATTTGCATATTACCTCCAACCATCTTGGTCCTAGTTTTCCTGACCTCAGAAGGATGGAAGATTGAGTCAACTTTGAGCACTGTTAGAGTCGACACAGGCTGTGGTCAGAGTTTGCTCACAATGCTGCACTTTATTTATTTTTTATTTTTTATTTTATATCAAATTTATATACCGCCCTTCTCCCTGAGGACTCAGGGCGGTGTACAGCCAGATAAAAATATAAACTACAAACATTAAAATACTATTAAAAAGATATATATATATAAATTTGGCCCCATGATTAAAAAACAATGACAAACCAATTAAAAACACTTAAAAGTGTTAGGCCAGCCCGGCTTGCTGAAAAAAGAAGGTTTTAAGGGCACGGCAGAAGGCACCGAGGTCTTGGATTCTCCTTATCTCTGGGGGCAGTTGGTTCAGAGGGTGGGTGCCCCCACAGAGAAAGCCCTCCCCCTGGGGGTCACCAGCCTACATTGTTTGGCTGATGGCACCCCGAGGAGGCCCTCTCTGTGGGAGCGCACAGGTCGATGGGAGGCCGTCGGTAGCAGCAGGCGGTCTCGAAGATATCTAGGTCCTATGCCATGGAGCGCTTTAAAGGTGATAACCAACACCTTGAAGCGCACCCGGAAGACCACTGGGAGCCAGTGCAGCTCACGCAGGAGAGGTGTTGTATGGGAGCACCATGCAGCTCCCGTAACTACCCGTGCGGCCGCATTCTGGACCAGTTGAAGCCTCTGGGTGCCCCTCAAGGGGAGCCCCATGTAGAGAGCATTGCAGTAGTCCAGGCGAGAGGTGACGAGGGCATGAGTGACTGTGCACAGGGAATCCCGATCAAGAAAGGGCCGCAACTGGCGTATCAGGCGAACCTGACAAAAAGTCCCCCTGGCCACAGCCGTCAGATATTCCTCCAAGGATAGCTGTGTATCCAGAAGGACTCTTAGGTTCCGAGCCCTCTCCGAGGGGGCCAAAGACTCGCCCCCAATAGTCAGAGATGGAGTCATCTGACTATATCGGGATGCCGGGAACCACAGCCACTCAGTCTTGGAAGGGTTGAATTTGAGCCGGTTTCTCCCCATCCAGATCCGCACAGCCTCCAGGCACTTTAGCCACTACGCCTCCAAGGTTCTGGTTTCTTTTACCTTTCTTCAACTAAATGTCTCCCAGATGTGATGGATTCTTTTCTCTCCTTTTAGTGAGTAATATTGCAGAAAATATATAACTGGGTAAAAACTTGATTCTAGCATATCACTTGACCAAAAGCAATGTGCTTCTTTGGATTTTTTTTTTTTTTTTGGCTTTCCCACTTCTTCTATAGGACCAAGGATTTCACTTGATAACCAAATTGATATACCCGGTAAAACCTGTGGCCTCTTGCCATTGGCACCCATGTATCTGTGTGCACTTTTCTTGCAACTCACCTCACCCCTACCCCACCTGATTAAAAAAAACTAAGTCATGTTACCATATCTGGGCTGAGAAATTCCAGATGACCACTAGATGGTAGCAAAGAGATATAGGAACTCCTAACTCTTTGCTTCCATCTAGTGGTCATCTAGTTATTTGGTTTATGCAGCCTAGATCAGGCAGCTCTAAATGTTCCTACCAGCCCAAAATGTTCTAGAACCTGATTCTAAATTACAGAATGATTTGATTGCTATAAACCTGATTTATTAGTGATTGTTAATTAAAGCCATGACTACAGCAAACAGCCATGATTTAGAAGGATGGATGATTGCAATTGTTGTTACTCTCTTTTAAAGGATTAATCTGGCTGGGAACATAAATGCCTTACTGAAAAGCAGTAATTTTGTCTTTGGTGTGTGGGCATATGTTTCTTTGTCCTTTCCCATCCATCATACGATTGAAGAAGGGTGCATCCAAATGAAATAAATACATGCTAGGGCAAGTTAGTTCAGTGATAATTATTGCTTTCCCCTTCCTTACTTTCGCTACGTTCTCATTTTAAAAAAAGTGGAATGCCATTTATTTTTCTGGCAAGAGTTTTTGCTCTAAAACCACTGTATCACTGTTTTGTTTTTTTATAAACACAACAAGCCTGAGGAAAAAAAATATAACAATTTTGTTAAATATTTTATAAATGTTTCTGTCTGGAATTGTACATGTATTTCTAGGGACATAAGCAAGTTTATTCAGTAACATTTCCTATTTTCAAAGGCAACACAGTTAAGTTAGTAAAGCTTACTTAGGTTACGATTAACAAAATTGTTTTCAGGTATAATTTTAACAATAATTTCTATAAAAAACAATTATATTTGCTAAGTCATAAAATGAAACAATAACTCCGCAATGTCTGGTTTAATATATGCTAAATTAAAATCGGGATGCAGTGGCTCAGTGGCTAAAATGCTGAGCTTGTCGATCAAAAGGTTGCCAGTTCAGCTATTCGAATCCCTAGTGCCGCGTAATGGGGTGAGCTCCCGTTACTTGTCCCAGCTTCTGCCAACCTAGCAGTTCAAAAGCATGTAAAAATGCAAGTAGAAAAATAGGGACCACCTTTGGTGGGAAGGTAACAGCATTCCATGTGCCTTTCGCATTTAGTCATGCTGGCCATATGACCACGGAGACATCTTCGGACAGTGCTGGCTCTTCGGCTTTGAAACGGAGATGAGTACCGCCCCCTAGAGTCAGGAACAATTAGTACACATGTGCAAGGGGAACCTTTACATTTACCTTTAAATTAAAACCAAACAAAAGCACAAAATGGCTTTGGGTGTTGTGTGAACCCTGTTGATGGTAAGGAACCCCCAGAACATAAAACTTTAAAGTAATTGTTCAAGCAATGGTTGGATTCACACTATAGTTTCAGAAACCACAATTGCCCTGGTTCACACACCAAGGTGTCATAAATTATAGTTCACGGTGGCTGATTTCAGACAACACAATAAGCCAAAAATCAAATCAGCCTTCTTAAGGTTTAATGTCATGCATCAGCCAGGTGAACCATACTTAAGATTCTTATTGACATCAATAGGACAAGGTAGCCATTGATGCAGTGGGTCTCTTTTAAGAATTATCAAATTCTCTCATCCTACTTTTTTTTCTTGACAACTAGAAACATGTCTAAACCAGTTACTGGATTACATTCAACCATCATTCTTAGTGTTCTCGTGTGTGTGTGTGCCAATGGTGTACTGTGGTTACATATGTGGGAGTAAGTTAAAGAGCCAGTTTGGTCTAGTCATTAAGATGCTGACTTAGAAACCAGAAGATAGTGAGTTTTAGTCCCGTGTCAGGCATGAAAGCTGGATGGGCGACTTTGGAGCCAATCACTTTCTCACAAGGTTGTTATTACGGGGAAAATACAGGAAATCCTTGACTTATAACAGTTCATTTAATGACCATTCAAAGTTATAACAGCACTGAAAAAGGTGACTTATTACTGTTTTCCACTTACCGACCACTGCAGCAATCCTTTGGTCACGTGATCAAAATTCAGGCTCCTGGCAACTGACTCATATTTATGACGATTGCAGTGTCCCAGGCTTATGTGATCCCTTTCTGAGACCTTCTGACTAGCAAAGTCAATAGGGAAGCCGGATTCACTTAACAACCATGTTACTAACTTAACAACTGCAGTGATTCACTTAACAATTGAGGCCAGGAAGGTCGTAAAATGGAGTAAAATTCCATTTTACTCCAAATTAACCAATGTCTCATTTAGCAACAGAAATTGGGGGCTCAATTTGGTCATAAGTCAAGGACTAGTAGGAGGAAGGTATATTAGACATGTTTGTTGCCTTGAATTACTTATACAGTAATAAAGGCAGGATAAAAATCAAATAAGCAAATAAGCAAACTAGCTCCAGGAAACGCAGCACAATTCACTCTTGGGTAGGATCCAGCTGCATGCTTCACTGAAAACAATGGAGCAAGTTTGTACTTATGAACATCTACCTAATTCTTTCAGTGTAATTGTGAGTCCTAAAAACCTAAAGGCAATTTTGAATATTTCTCTTTTCATTTAATCTACGGCTTTCAGAAATGGTTCTGGAAATAATTCTACCCTTCCCAGAATGACGTCAACAGGGTATTTGGTCTCTGAGTAAGTTTTATTTGCAATTTGATAAAAGAAGGGAAGATGTGCGGGGTGGCAGCTTCCGTCCACGGTTTCAATATAGCTGCTCCTTCCCATGTGTTTGGCTGCCCCTCCCTTTGATCTGAAACAATTCAGCTGGCAGAACTGGCTGTTTATTAGTAGGTGTTTTTCAATAATGGAGCTATCTTCCACATCTTCTGAGATGGTTGGTTTTCTGTTGGTGTTCCTGAATTCATTTTGGAGAGGTAGAGAGCGCAAGAGGGCAGGACAAGTCTGAACAAGAGTAAGTCATGTTCAAAGACAATGTGGCATAAGAGGAAACAGGTTGGCTAGAATGGAAAGTCCAAGCGAATGAAAAATCAAAATGGAAAATGGAAGAGAAATCAAAGATTTTAGGAATGATGACGAAAGCTTGGCAGGGAAAGTTAGTTGGAATGGAAAGGAGGAAAAGCAATGGGAAAGCGTATGCCAGTTTGACAGTAACAGATCATGTGGAAATCCAGCCTAACCAAAAAAAAAATAAAAAAATTGGAAGGATAAAGATGAGCAATACTGGCAATGTAAGGATCGGTGTCTGATTTTACGAGGCAGCAGGAAGCCCTCTGGAGCAAAGCCACAAGGTTTGGGCATAAAAAATCTGGTTGAGCTGGCCTGGCCTTTTCTACTCGCAAGCAAGCTTCCCATCAAAACTGGACAGACAGATGGCAAATGCCTGAAGCCCGCAGAGGGGGAATCGATAATCCATGGTGAAGACATCAGAAGCCACCCGGCCAAACTGGAGCACAATGTAGTCAGCTGCAAACCAAGGAGATGAAAGACCATTGAGGCAAAAGAAAAGATCCACCAAAAACTTCATTTCTTCACTCTTTATGCTTGCCTATCTCCTAAACCTTCCTCAAAAAATAAATAAATAAATAAATAAATCTCCAAGGGCTTCCTTCCCTGATGATTGAGCAGATCCAACTCTTCCCCAAGCTTATCCTGAGTTGTCTGTCTTTCATTCATATCCCTGGGACTTGATGAAGAGCAATATGGAATTCCTCATACAGGATTGGGGCCGTGTTTGTAGCACGGGTTCACACTGAGATAAAACTTGTGCATCAGACCTCTTACCTCAATTTGGATTAGGGGTATTAGAAAGCTGAGCAGTTAAGATACCGGGCTTGCAACCTATGTTCGAGACCCAAGCACCCTGTGACAGGGTGAGTTCCTGTCCTTGCCCCAGCTCCTGACAAGCTAGCAGTTGAAAAGCATGCAAATTTGAGTAGCTAAAAAGGTATCACTTCTGTGGGAAGGTAACAGCGTTCCATAAAGTCATGACCACAGAAATGTCTTTGGTCAGTACTGGTTCAACGGCCTTGAAATGGAGATGAGCACTGCCTCCTATAATCAGCAATGACAAGCAGGGACTCCTTTACCTATTAGAAAATAATTTGTCCAGCACATACTGAGATTGGACCAAAGCAGCCAAGAGATGTCCAGTGGAACAGTTTAGTATTAAAGAGAGGATGCTGATGCTCTCCTGTTCATATTCTCTATCTACAGGAATCTTTGACATTTGTGATAGAAGATAGCTATCGTGGCTAGCTGTTGTTTTCACTCCCTGAACATCTTATTTTCTTCAAGGGCTTTCTAAATTGGTGGCCACTGCTGTGTTCAGTGGAAGCAAATTCTACAATTTTAATTATATACCATGTAAGAATATCTGCCCTGAATCATCCACCATTAGATTTCATAGAATAACCACAATTTCCAGAACTATATGAAAGGGGCAAAACAATCTTCCAATCTATTTTCCTCATCTACAACATGGACAACTTTATACCCATTTCGTGTTCATCAACTTTATTTGTCCTTCCAAGACACAAATATTTGAGGAAACTGCTTAATCCTTTGGTTACTTTGCTTGCCCTGTTTTACATTTTTCAGTTCTACAAAAATTCCTTTTGGTGATGGAGAGATGTAGCTATCACAACTGTTTCCACACTCTAAATGAGACTGGTTGTCCATAAAGTTCTCACAATAGTTGGGGTTCTATTTCCTATTCAACCCCAAGAAAGAATTTGCCTTTTTCGTAACTGCTACATACTGGGCCACTGTGTTCACTAAACTAAATACCCCAATCCTATAATCCTGTTCTTGTCAATTCTTGCCAACTCTAATCTGATTCACATATCTATCCATTTGTAAAATATACTTCCTAATGCTGGTGCTTATGCCAACAGTTCTGGTATCCCTTTGTTCTAATCACCTTAAATAATTGCATATTTGTCAGAAAAACTGGCCACAATAGATTTACTTATAAATTAGTGTCATTAAATGTGACTTCTGCATAGATAGCATCACCTTACAAAACCTTCTGCACTCTCCTGAATCTTGCCCACTACTCACGGTCATCTTCTGAAATGATTTGGAAGTTCTTGACGGACGCCTGTGTGACCCGTCCGTGGAAGTTGAGTACGTATGACTGGGTCTCCTCATTCCAAGCAGGCACCTTGTTCTGGAGTTTGATCAAATTTTGCATATTCCGGTTCTGGTATCGCAACAGTAAGGTTTCATGTTCCTTTAGGCAGAGAAGTACAAACATTATGTTTGTACCAGCATTCCTATGCTGGTGGTTTTTCTCCAAAATAGAAGCAATAAGAACCACTCACATTTTTAGGTTGGATGCGGATCCTCTCATTCTCTGAATTCATTCCAGGAATTATCACTGTCATTTTCCGTGGACCTCTGAAACCCAAAACATTGGTCTCCTGCAAAGGCACAGGGATGGGACATAAGAAATCTATTAACTTCTGCTTTTAATTCGGAAAAACAGAATAAGAGAAAGGGACCTTGGAGGTCTTCTAGTCCAGCTTCCTACTCAACCAGGAGACCCTATACCATTCCAGACAAGTGACTGTCTAATCTGTTATTAAAAGCCTCTGGTGATGAAGCACCTACAATTTCTGAAGATAAGCCATTCCACTGGTTAATTGTTCTCACTGTTAGAAGATTTCTCCTTAATTCTAGATTGCTTCTAGAGAGCTGTGGTGGCGCAATTGTTAGAATGCAGTACTGCAGGCTAATGCAGGTCACTACTAGGAGTTCAATTCTGGCCGGCTGAAGGTTGACTCAGCCTTCCATCCTTCCGAAATCGGTAAGCTGAGGACCCAGATTGTTGGGGGCAATATGTTGACTCTGTAAACTACTTAGAAAGGGCTTTAAAGCACTCTGAAGTGGTATATAAGTCTTATTGCTATTGCTTCTCTCTTTGATTAGTTTCCATCCATTGTTTCTTGTTCTGCCTTCAAGTACTTTGGAGAATAGGTTGTCCCCCTCTTCTTTGTGGCAGCCCCTGAGATATTGAAACACTGCTATCATGTCACCCCTAGTCCTTCTTTTCATTAAAGTAGACATACACAATTCCAGCAACCATTCTTCATATATTTTAGCTTTCAGCCCCCTAATCACTTGTTGCTCTTGTCTGCACTCTTTCCCGAGTCTCATCATCTTTCTTATATATAGTGACCAAAACTGGATATAGTATTCTAAGATTTTAAATCTTTAATTCTACCATTGGTTTGTTAAGAAATGTTAATATTTGTTACAAATGGAAAGCATTCCTATTCAACCTTATATTTTTATAGTGGGTAATTTCTCTCCCCAGAGTTTAAAGTATCCCATCATTTTCCAAAAAACAAAACTATCTTTCCATCCTTGGTGCTCAGTCTAGCTGGGGAATTTACAGTCCCAAAGCACCTGAAGGTACCAAATTGAGGAAGTTAATTTTAAAAGGTGCAGTATTTGAAATGCTGGTTTTTTTTTCCTGGTTAGAATGGAGAATTTCTAAAAAAGATTATAAATTACCAATCAGCATACCCTTTTATTTTATCTGGAAAAGATCACCCTTCATCTGATCACCTTAAAAAATTAGCCACCTGATTTAACAAAATGAAATGTCTTTTAGGTATTTCAGTTCCAAAGTATATTGGAAAAATTTCAAAGGATCTAACAGTTTTGTTGCCCTGCCTGGGTAATCATGGATCCATATCAAGTAAGAAAAATGCCAAATAATCTACTAATGGCCAAAGGGAAGGCAGAGGAAACCATGTGACTACAAAGACCATTTTTAGAAATGCAGAATTTATCAATTTTTGAGAAAATTATATATTTGGCTAATCAGAAAATGTCACATTACCTATTGTTCCTTTGGAAAAAAAATTTCTTGGACAGGCTTAGCTAACACTAAAAATCTTTCAGGTGATGTAGAGTAATTACATTTTGGTTATTCATCTTTTTCTTTTCTTGTAATTTCTTTCTTTTTTGTGTATGATAAATTATTCATTTTTATTTTACATCATTTATCTTTGTTTTAAAATGAATTCATTAAAACTCTCAAGTACAGTATTAATAAAACAAAAACAAAAATCAATGTAACTGAATCAAGCTACTGAGCTTTCTGGCTTAGCACAGTCTCTTTGGGCTGAGTATTGTAGATGACGACTAGGCTGACCCTGAGGGAGGGGTCAAATGTATCATCAGTCTTGACTTATGACCACAATTAAGTCCAAAATTTCTGTTGTTAAGTGAGACATTTGTTAAGTGAGTTTTGCCTAATTTTACGACCTCTCTTGCCTCTTATTGTTAAATGAATCTCTACAATTGTTAAGTTAGTAACCCGGTGGTTAAGTTATCTGGCTTCCCCATTGGCTTTATTTGTCAAAAGGTTGCAACAGGGATCACTAACCTTGAGACACAGCAATGGTCATAAGTATGAAGCAGTTGCCAAGCTTCTGAATTTTGATCACATGATCATGGGGATGCTACAAAGGTTCCAACTGTGAAAAATGGTCATAAATCACTTTTTTCAGTGCCATTGTAACTTTGAACGGTCACTAAATGAACTGCTGTAAGTTGAGGACTATCTGTAGTTTATTGCAAGATATGCTTGCAATAAACCTATGTATTCATTTGAACTGCCTGGATTTCCTGATTTTTTGTGCTTGACATATATTTTTTGGCACTTGCATCTTTCCGAATAAAGTTAGTTCTTCTTTTATGACCACAACTGGGATCAAAACTTTTGTTGCAAAGCAATGTGGTTATTAAGGGAGTCATGCTCAATATTATGACCTTTTTGCTGTGGTTATTAAACAATTCTCATGGGCATCAAGAAAATCCCGCTTCCTTCATTAATTTTACTCATCAGAAGCCCCCTAGGACAGTGTACATGGCAATCCTATGACCTGAGACACTTCAAACATCATAATACATGCCAGTTGCTAAGTGCCCGAATTCTGATCATGTGACTGTGGGGACACTGTGTGAGTACTAGTCATAAATCACTTTTTTCAGTTTTGTTTTAACTTCAAATGGTTGTTAAATGAATAGCCGTGAGTTGAGGGCTACCTATTTATAGGAGCATATCAGTTCCCCCTTAGTCAGTTCTGTGATACTTACATAGCAAATGGCAACTAACTCCTGCCGTAGATGGGCAGTTTCTGGAACAAAAGGTTTTTTTTCTGGATTGATTCCATTGTCAAACACAGTGAACTTGGTCCCAAGCATGTTAGATCTAGAAAGCAAGCAAAAAAGGGACGTTTACTTTTTTTAAGCATTTTAGAGCCTGCCATATTACCTTCGATCATCCCTTCTGCCATGCTGTCATGTTAATTAAGTAAGAACCCAAAGCTAGGATGAAAACTACAGATTAGTACAAAAAAACGAAAACAAATCAAGTACACCAAGAGATTCTAGAAACTGTAGTGTTGTTATAAACAAAATTCTTCAACAAGGAAATCCTGTCTTAACTATGGAAGAAGGCTCAATAATGAAAAAGTACATAATAGAGTACAGGAACTATGCTCTCCAAAATCAGTCCTTTATATTTAAGTCTCCCCTCAAATTAGGATAGGGTGTCTGGGAGAGTTTTCAGGAATGTGCTTTTTACATTATGATTTATCTCTTTTCTATTCTTTTCAGGTACACCCTAGGGCAGTGTTTCTCAACCTTGGCAACTTGAAAATATGTGAACTTCAATTCCCAGAATCTCCACATATCTTCAAGCTGGCACGGTTGAGAAACACTGCCCTAGGATCTTCATGTGATTCTGATCTCAACATCAGATGAAACTTTAGTTTTCAGCAAATATGGTGAAACTCAGAGGGTGGGAGGGATCCAGAAGTCCCTCCCACTGTAGTTAAACTCTAAACTTGCAAATGGGAAACTAGATTTCTACTCATGGAAAAATACCCTCCCTCAGCTAGGAAGCAAAGATGATTTCAATCAAATCATCTCAGCTTATACGGAGAATGAAAAGGACCAAGTAATAAAATGCATTTCACACACACATATATATTTCCAAGTCTGATATATAGAGAATGATGCCACCTTGAGGACATCAAGTACAAGGAAAGAACTGTATTGATTTCCACAGTGTTATTTTTCTACTGATAACTGTATATCCCAGAAACCTTTACCTCTATTAGAAAAACATAGATAGGAGAAAGGTAGGCATCTTCAGTCACATAAGGACCATCTTTTTAAGATTTATTATTATGATATTTTCTGATGCTTTTTAATGTCAGTCTGAGTGGCTGCAATATTATTCCCGTTCTAAATCCTGAGAGTTACATACTATACTTAGCTTCTCAAATATACATATGATAAAATCAATAGGGAGTATACCTATCAATTGTTTGTCTTTTCTGGTTGAAAAAATAGCAAGTTTCATACCCTTCTCTGAATGCAGCAGAATAAAAAAATGACAATCACTAAGTGAGGTCTACCTATATTGGAGAGTAATGTCACCAAATAGTCTGCTAGGAAATGTATGATTTTGGTCCAGCGTGGCTATTATGCAAGGGTATTAATGATGTCAAAATGGTGGATGCAACTGGATGAACAAAGCTCCACCCTTTTTTAATGTGCATCGCATTTCAACAGTCTAGTCACCCTTTCATTTCAATGACAGTGACTCTCCTGCCACCATAGAAAACATTTTGAAGAAGTAACTATAACATGTTTTCAAATATTTGTATTCACTGATGCCAAAGGTATACCTTATCCTTCTTCAGAAGTTATGTACATTATCCCATAAATAAAACACTGGGGTAACATGCACTTGATGTACTAAAGATCATAGAGCTTCTAATGCTTGGCAAAGGAGTAGAATACTAGTTTTCAACTCCCACAATCCCCCAATGAATTCTGGGAATTCATTCAAACTTCTGGAGGATATCCTTTGGAGAAAGCTGAACTACTGGTGGTAGGTCTATCTGCTACTCACACCTGCTTTTAATAGGCTACAGACCAGACACACCTGACTTTTCCAATGAAGTTTTCTCCACCTCGTGACAGATCAATTGGATCTAAAGAAATAAGGTAATTTGAAGTCTTGCTTTTTTTCCTTTTCCTTCCAGACATGAGGAACCGCTGAAAGAGAACACCAAATTGTCGATGAGATACATTCCTAGTTGCCTTTTTCTTTAATTGCCATCATTGCTGTTTCAATGTTATTGAATGTCAAAGAGAACAAAGATGCAAATTGTCATAATAGCAAATTCATCTTTATAGAACTATCTTTTGCTCAGATTGGGTTTGTACACCATAATAAAACATAGTTTTCTCAGTTTGACTTATTTTATTCTGTGAACATTGCTGCTGGGGTTTCTCTGTGGCAGCCTTCCCCAAGCAGAGTGTCCTCCAAACATATGGACTCTAATTTGGCCATCGGTGACAATTCTGAGAGCTGAAGTCTACCCTAAGTATGTTTCAGTGGGAACCAAGGGTCCCTTCTGTTTTTGGCAGGATTCAGACAATCCACCTGCTTCCTGAGAGTAAGTTCAAAGGAAACTGTGGCACGAATTAAAATGAATCAAAATATTTTAATATCAGCCTTGATAGGTGATAAAAGGCAATAGAGATGAAGACTCTCTCAAGTGTGTGACTTCAAGGACACATCCATGTTTTTTCAAAAATAATAAAATAGAAGCATTTTGACACCTTCATATTTTTCAACTTCCAGTTGACTTTTCTAGTACTGAACAGGTCCCATCCTATTAGTTCTTTCAAAATCAGTCAAGAATGGCTGGATACTGCCATCTTCCATGACTAGCAACCATTATAAGAGTGAATGAACTCAGCATTATTAATATCACAGCATTCTTGCTGGTGTTGTGAGCTTCTAGCTAATGCATTGTCACTTCAAGTGTATAAGACTGATCAGTCTTTAAGGAATTGTAGGCACTTTCAAAATTTTTAAAATACCATAATTTATTAAACATATACCAGTATGCATATGTTACTTAACAATAGTAACTGGGACCAAAATATCTGTTGCTAAACAATACAGTCATAAAGCAGGATATTATATGAATCACACCACTTAACAATGGCAATTTTGGCAGTCCCCAGTTATCATTGTTAAGCAAATCCCCATAAGTTGTTAAGCAAGGACCTCACATGATCACAACTTCTGATTTTCTGCTAGCTTCCCTGTTAACTCTGCTTGCGGAAAACTGGAGGGTCGCAAATAACAATTATGTGACCGTGGGAAGCTGTAATGGTCAGAAATCTGGGCTAGTTGCCAAGCACTCGGATTATGATTGCATGATTATGTGGATGCTGGAACTTTGAAGACAGATCATAAGTACCATCTCTTCAGCACCATTGTAAGCTTAAACTGAATGAGTGGTTGTTAACTGAGGACCACTTGTGCCATGGGATGTAATGCATGCTTCTTATAAAGGGGATCACAATACTGGGCTTTTTTTCCAATTGGTTTATTTTGGGACTGCATCTCCAAACAGTAATTAACAGAAATTTTCCTCTTTCTGGAATAAGATGGGATGCAAATTTAAACAAATTATTTAGAATCATATATTTTCAACTGTGTGTTTGAGTGTGTGTGTGTGTGTGTGTGTGTGTTTAAACACAGCATCGTTCTTTGCTTCCTGATACCTTCTTCCCATTTTCCATCTCAAGGTGCAAGTAGTAGAAGGGGAAGATGCCCTTGTCCATCCCTTTCCGGTCTCGTGTGATGCGACACTGGATTGTGTGGCCCTGAGGGGCAGGTTGCAAAACAAATGCCTCAATGTCATCCACTTTGAGAGACAAGGGAGTGCTTGCTTCCTCGTTTGGAGACTGCCAGGAAGAACAAGAGGTAAGCTGTAATAAAATCTGAGAGCAGTTTTACACTACAACCCACTTGCTTTTCACCCATAAAATACCAAGTATTGCAAATCTATGGGAACCCTCCATGCTCTCTAAGGATTAAATGTTGGTTAAAGGCACTCTCATCTTCTGCTTTCTAATGAAAGGGTCAAAATACATAGTGAAAATACATGCAAAGGCAGAGAAACAGCAAGAGGTAGGTGCATGGGGTGTTGGTAGGGAGAAATGTCTTCAAGGAAGAAGAAGAATCAGAAGAAAATCCCTTTCTGTTAGGTAATGATAAATGTGCATTAGATGAAATGAAAAAGATTTCCCAAGAGGTCTTTAAAACACATCTGGTTTTAACTTTAGCCCCTTACCGCAGATAAGTCAATTTCTTCTTGAATGTACATCACACTCCTGAGAATGTCTTGATCGTCATCCTTGAAGTCTTCATCATCATCATCTTCATCATTTTCTTCCTCTTCCTCGCTCGGACTCCTCCTTCCATTAGTGAGAGATCCTGGAAAAATCAAGAAGAATTGCAACAGTTAGATGAGGAATGTGATCCTTTCTTTTTCCCCTTTCTCATTTTTAATTCCATCCCAGTACACTATGAGGTTCAAGCCAGTAGTCCTAACTCCTGATGTTTGCTTTTTTGTTTGAGAACATATGAATGGCTCCCAAATTTTGATTATTTGTTTACATTTCTTTCTTTTTTTTAAAATTTGATTTATATGCCGCCCTTCTCTGGAGACTCAGGGCGGCTTACAATGCTTTTCGTTGTCAGTACAATTTCTAAATGGTTTAAAGCCCAGAGTTTAAAACTATAAAATCACAATAAATTGAGACATTAAAACCATGGCAAGAACAACAATTGCAAAATAAAAATAAAAATGGTACAGGGCTTATTTTCTGAAAATATGTCACATCCGGGACATAAACTGTTTCAACTTCTCCACTCAGGATACTGTTTGCATGCCAAAACAACTAGACACAAAGTTTTCCCCCCATACCACCACTCTGCTAAACATCTAATTCCCACAATATTGTCTTATACCTAAAGATATGTATCCTATGTAGTAGGGATGTATTGCTATTATCCTCCTCATCTTCTTATCTTTCTCATCTTTCCTACTACCTTCTCCTATTGCTATCTTATGATTTATTGTTTGCATCTTATGATTTATGATTGTATCTTATGATTTGTGATATATAATTTATCACTTTGTGGTTTCTATGTACACTGAGAATTTATGCACTAGGGGCAAATTCTTTGCATGTCCAATCACACTTGGCCTATTCCTATCACATTTGGAAAAGGGCTGAAATTCCAAAGTCAAGTTGCAACAAATTTCCAGAGCAAAGGAGAGTCATGTTTGATCAGCGCACAGATCACCCTTTTCTAGCCACTACTTCCACCCATGCAGAAAGATCACCAACCTCTGTGCCTCAGCATCCACTCACGAGGCTTCTTCATAGGTGAAGGAGGTATGGTCAGCTCCTGGGAGTATTCCCCCTCACTTTCAGAGTTGCTTTGAAGCATATCGATGTTATGCATGTCCCCAATGGCTTTTTTGGACTCTGTAGACTTTGGGACTTCTTTGGGAAGATCATTTTTCAAAACTAAATTAAATAAGATGTGAAATACATCACTTCTCATTCTGTCTGGACTCTGGATATTTCTGATGCCACATTTTTATATGTTTACTACCTTCAAGTCTGTTACCTTACCCCTCATATATGTATAAAAAAAAGAGAAAGGAGTCCCTGATGATTTTACTCCCCTGGTTGTTGCCGACTATAGGGGGCAATGCTCATCTCCCTTTCAAGGCCATTGAGCCAACACTGTGCAAAGACATTTCCGCCATCATGGGGCCAGCATGAAGTCATGGAGGGCTGTTACCTTCCCACTGAAGTGGTACTTTCATGCTTTCAAACTGCTAGGCTGGCAGGAGCTGGGGCAAGGACAGGAGCTCACCTCATCACATGGTGCTCACATCTCAAACCTGGCTGCCGGATTTCCTGCCGATGAGCCCAGAGTCTTAACTGTTGAGCCACTGTGCCACCTCTTATACATACTCATATACGTATAGTTTTAAGTAAATATCTTCTTTCCCCACTACAATTAGAGAATCCATGAAAGGTATCCATTGTTGCATTTCCACTCTCAGGAATCAATAGTGTACATGATACTGTAAAATCTTAGCATTGGGAGATATTATCCAACTGCCTACTTAGTGAAGGCCACAAATTGCAGTATCTCAAGAAAAGACTTTGCATTGATGCATCAACAAAAAGAATACCACCATGTCTCTCGCTAACTGGCTCCATTGTTTAACTATTCTTCCTAGTATTTCATCTTAATTTGCCTTGCTACAATTTAAGATAATTCCTTTCAAAAACACAAGTTTTCTGCACCTATTTATTTGTAACAGGAAGCATATACTACCAACATTCATTCTCATTCTCATTTCATACATGTATAATTTCTTTTCCCCAATCCCCCTAGATTCTTACTTATCTCGTATCTCAGAAGTCTCACCTTCCATATCCATAACGACTGACGGAACCTTCTGTACTGGGGTTAATCTTTCCTTTTTTGATTTGGTTGCCTGGGATACATGCTCAGGAACCTCATCTTCCATACCCACCATGGGAGATGGAATGTCATGTCTCGGGGATAAACTTTCTCTCTTTGATCTGGCAGTCTGGCCATGCCGTTTTGTACTTGGTCGTCCTGTAGATGATCAAAAATGACATCATATCCAAGGGAGAAATTATTAAGTCTCAGGGTTAGAAACAAGACTGGAGGGAAGAAACCTTTTGGTGGTCAGAAGCCACCAATGCTTTTGGACTGATGTACAGTAAATATAAACTGGAAATTAAACAAGTCACTAACATGGCAATGCCTGGAAAGAGTTCCATTCATAATTTTATTATATATCCTCCCACAAACACAGTTCTGCTTCTGAATAAATAGATATTCAACAAATTCAAAAACTTGTAACAGTAATATTAGGGCATTTTGGAGAGGGGAAGATATCATTGTCTTCCTTTTGTAATGAAACCTTCATTTTCCTACCATTTCTTCCATCTTTTTCCATGTAACAAAATCAAATGTATTGGGAGACATACCTATAACAATGTTTTTCAACTTCGATCATTTTAATATGTGTGGACTTTAACTCCCAGAATTTCCCAATCAGTATGGCATGATTGGTTGGAGAAATCTGGGAATTGAAATTCACACATGGACAAGGCTGAGAAATGCTGACCTATATAGTATCTTCTGATGAGTAGTATTAAGAGCTATTCAGAGGGACCATCCTTATTACAGCTATGGATTGTCTATCTGAAATCAAACTTAGTCATGATTAATTTAACTTCCACTAATTATGAACTGGTTCTACTTAACAATTAACAAATAATTTAATAATTAACAATTAAACCCTAGAGCTGATATCTTTGAAATTGGCTAATCCAGGGAGAATTCATCACTAGCCTTCCTTCCCAATTCCTGCTAAAAAGGAAGAACTAAAATAGGCAAAAAGCAGAAGCTTTTAGCAAAAGGCCCAGTAGCTCTGGAAAACCTCTAAGGTGCCTAGAAAAATTTGGAAATTTAGGTGAGGAACATTGAGACAGAGGTCCATTGGTACCATCATCCTTAGCATCATATCTGTTACATTGCTTCCACTTTTGGTCACCCCAGTTCATGAAGGAGGAATTCATTCCTTGTCGGGTGCCTACAAGCTTGACTTGTTGACCCAACTTTGTTGCCTGGCAACCATGTTCTTCACTCCAAAGGTAGTCACTTAGCAACAGAGAATGACATCATAGAAATCTCAGCAATCCTTCCCTCCCCTGGCCTCACCTTCTCTTTTTTTGACCTGCCAGCCATTCTTAGGAATGGATTCATTCTTGTTGATAGGTTGGGTTTCTTCCAAAATGGCCACCTCTAGCTCTGCTTCATCAAAAAAATCTGCTCAGAGAAGTGAAAAGAAAGACAGGTACTGAGAAGCACACAAATAAATGGTATGAGGATCCATGGTCATTACTGAAAAAGCACAGTGCAGACTACACTTGGTAACCTTCTTCAACATAACCTCCTTCAGATGGGCTGGATTATAATCTAAAATATTTTGAAATATTGACATAGATATTATGATAGGCTTCTCATGCAGTACCAATTTGGTACACAAACATTTAAAACAATGATTTCTTGTTATTGGTTGACTGACTGATTTATTTAATGTATATGGTCCCCTAACATGTTTACTCTAAGGACTGAAGGTGGTATGGCAGCAACTAACAATTCTCAGGCTGGACAGAGTCATTATGTTAATATGGAAGAAAAATCTCCTATTCTCAAGGCTGAGAAACGAACAACTGAAAGTCAGCACTGAAAAGAAGAATACAGAATAACAGAGTTGGGACCTAATCCAAGCCTCTTATGACCAATTCTCAAATTTATGATCATTGCAGTAACCCAACAGTCACATAATCAAACTTCAGGTCCTTGGCAACTGGCATGTTTTTACAATGGTTGTTGTCCCCCAGGGTCCTGGGATGCTCATTTGCAACCTTCCTAGCAAGCGTCTGACATGTAAACTCAATGGGGAAGGCAGATTCGCTTAATAACTGCATGATTCACTTAACAACCATAGTGATTCAGATAACAACCATGACAAAAAGGCCATAAAATGGGGCATGGTTCACTTAACAATTGTCTTGCTTAGCAACATAAATTTTGGGCTCAATTGTAGTCATAAGTCTGTTGACATGAAAGGATGGAAAAAAAAGACCTGGAATTTAAACTCTGGTACTGACCTTTATATGAAGCGCAATTGTTGTATTTTGCAATATATCTTTTTTCTTGTCTGTAACATGGCAATTAAAGTAGCCTTACTGAAGATGTGAAAGTTCTCTGTTAGCTATTTACAAAATTAGGAAATTGAGTTGCTAATTGAGAACTGGAATTTATTTTTATGCCTGGCATAAATTGACACTGATCCACAAACTCCCCAGCTTAATTCTAGTTTAGTCTATTATGTTGTATGAAGCCAGTTACATAACACACACACTCTCTCTTTTTTTCTCTCTCTCTCTTTCTTTCTGGTTCATATACCGGTACATATTTAATTTTAAACCTAGGAATTACATTTGATGTGGGGAAATGGAGTGGGTATGTGGGATAAAGTCTAATAATTAAAAGTAATGATATTTAAATCCAATTTTCACCCTTGATATACTTTTAGAACCTTTTTATATAACCCCACATCTTTGTAGAGTGAGCTTTTGGCTTCAGCAAAATTGTGTACATTTGAAGTGCCTAGGAAGCTCCTGCTCTATTTTAGACGTTTGTTATTAGCCATCCATTTGTTGAATTTGCTGAAGTTTTCCTCAACAAGGCACGTATTCCATGCCCGAATAAAAAACTGCAGGATGGAGTTTATCTCAAAAGAACATATTGATATGTCCTGGTGCCTTACTTACAAGCAAGGACATATTTCAGGGATGACAGCAATAGTCACAATTCATTTTTAAAGGGAAGTCACAGAAGGCTTGTAGGCTTTTTGTGGTACCAGATTTATTCAGACAAATATACAAGCTGATCTCCCTATAATTTTTTGGTCTCACCTGCCTTGAGTAGTTTTTATTTTTTTAACAAAGGATAAAGTACAGAGAACAAATGGAAAGGAGAAATAAAATGAATAATGTAAGATTATTTTGACTTATTATTTTGACTTATTTTGGCAGCTGCAACTGCAGGGCCTAAAGGATGAACAATGTAAAACATCTGTAGTTGGTGGCTCAAAATTACCTGGCCCAGCTGCTTGGCTTTCCCCTTGGCCACTGTGTGACCTGCTCATCTGGATAGAGCTACCCCACATATGGACACCAAGGTGGGCCTCTGGAACAGACTCCACAAGAAAAGGGTTGCTTGTACCTTTGGAGAGACAAACAATCAGTACATTAGAATGAGTAATTTGTATTCATTAAAAAATCCAACCTGATTCCTAGTCTCATTTATCCATCTTCTCTTCTATTTACCTGAGAAAAATTGCTCCAATACCAAGAAGCTTTGGATACAATTTTGAGAGAGACCAATAAACTATATCAGTAATGGCGAATCTTTTGGGTTTGGTGTATCAACAATTTTGGAATGCCTAACCTGACTCTACTGACATGTCACTGCCCCACCGCCCCGACCTGGGAAAAAAAAGAGAAACAATTCTTTACATATTCATTCATTTAAAAAATTCAGACCAATCATGTGGTGTTATGTATTATATAAAGAAATGTCAAATAATTACAAAAACAAAGTACGAGTACAACAACCTCATTTTCAGAGGGTCCAGAGGCTGCACGAGAGCACACCCCATTTTTGCATGGCCTCCGCAGCTTCCAAAAATTATGCAAGAACAGGGCATGTTTTCAAGAATAGTTGTTGTTGGGTGTAGAATGATAGTGTGTCACCCAAAATTTTGTGGTATTTCAACTTTGACATAGGTTTGCCATCACTGGACTACACCATTCTAATAACATTGCTAATTGGCACAAATAGACCTGCTGAAATAATACTTGGCTCCAGAGCAGCAGCCTAACCCTTTACAGCAGGAGTGTCCAGCTTTGGCAACTTTATGCTGGCTAGGGAATTCTGGGAGTTGAAGTCCACAAGTCTTAAAACTGACAAGATTAGACACTTTTGTTTTATAGCAGGGGTGTCAAACTCACAGCCCATAGGTTGGATGCATCACACGCTGACCACACCGATGCCCAATTTAGCAAAGGGGGAAAAAGTCGCAATATGTCACGTGATGATGCCATGACGATGTGAGTTTGACACCCCTGCTTTATAGCTTTCCATTCTTTACGGAAATGGTGGAATCTGGAAGAAGGGCAGGGATACCCTATCTGGGCTGCAAATTCCAGATGACCATGGTATAGCAGGAAAGAATTAGCATTTGGTATCTCTTAGCTGTTATCTAGAGGTCATCCAGATTTTTTGCAGGGAAGACATGGTAACTCTAATAAAAATTTTCAGTTACCATTCAGTTTGTGGGAACAAACTCTACTTGCGCTTGCATTTTTTGCCATTTAGGTATAACTTATAATTGTTCATTCTACTTTCCTTTCCAAATTTAAATACTTCACTCTTTGATAAATTCATTTTCAGAGCCATACTCCTCAATGCATCATACAATCTCACTTTCACTGTGGGCCATTTGGGTTTTTAGCTAACTACACATCTATGATTGCATACAAACATACATGCAATTGCAATGCTGACATCCCCACCAACAGACTTCTAATATTTCCACAAACAAGGAGAAATTGCACATCTTTATCTTCTGTTCAGCAATGAACAGAACATTTGCAAGCATTTGATTTATTTTCTCATAACCACTCCTTCCATTCGTATTCAGCACTGCATTCAGCAACCAACCTTCAACTCAATATTTGTGTAAAATATCTAATACATTGAAGCATATTAATTTTGTCACATACTTCCTTTAAATCAATATATAGATAATCATCACTTTTTTCACATTCAATCATCTTTTTCATTTCACAATGATCCACTGCAAAGCAAAAATCTGGTCTGCATAGCCTTTATAAGGGGAAAAAACCTGCACTACACTTTCCAGTTTTATACATAGTAACTTTTTGTACCCTTTTAATCAGGTCTCTGCTGTACCACATCCAAAGCACTTTTACAAATATGTCTCCTTGTAGTTTTGGCATTCATTCTTACTACTTTTCCCTTTAAAAATCAGGGGAGTCTGCCAGCACTTTTTCTGACTAACACATTTTATTAAAAGGCATGTTCACATCATCCGCTGCATTGAATGATTTCACTAGTTTAGGATTTAATTGGAATGTGGGATGGGAGGAAATCCCAATTTTAGTCCTACACTGGAAGTACTCTAAGATCTGAATGAAGTGAACTTCAGCTAACAAAACTGTAGCTTTTAATACAACATGTTAGTCAGAAAGGCTGCTACTAGATCCTCCTGATTTTTGGCTACAATAGACCAACACTTCTCAATTTTGGCAACACTAAGAAGTGCGGACCAACTTCCAGAATTCCCCAGTCAAAAGAAACAAATTATCAAAAATACTTAATTCTTAATTAAAAGAAAATATCTGAAGATGTCAAAACCAAACTCTTTAGTCTTGAAAATAATCACTATTTCATAACATGCATTTTCCTGAATAGTTGCTGTTGTTCCTTCTTCATTTTTTCTTTAATTCAGTTTATCATTGAAATGCATCCAGTCTGCCAATCGTTTAGCTCTTCTTGTCAAAACAAACAGCTTAAGTAGCAAAAGAGGAAAGCTATGGCTAATTTGTGATATAAGTTACATATATGCCAATTTGGGAGTAGCAAATGAGTAACAGTGATCTTATTATTCAGAAAGTACAAATGACCTCCCTGAAAATCTGCAGATATGAGTAAATCAAGTCAACCAAGCTCTGCCCACTGAAAGAGAAGTTAGCAGCTCTCTAAGAAGAGAACGTAAGAGTGGAAAGAACAAGGATACTCACTATTCCCCAGGCTGTGTTCACTGCAAGACTCCATGAGTGGGATGCGTTCCTCGGCTTTCTGCCTCCCTCGGCACCCCTTCACTTTGGTGTCTGTATTGGCCTGAACCATAAGTGGCTCCTGGCGCTTTCGGCGTTGCTTCTTTTCAATGATACGGCGCTGAAAAGGAGTTCAGAGAGATTGTAAGTAAGGAAAAGTTACCATCTACTTACCTACAAAGATGCACACATAATTCATTTTAAAATATCTATTTTGACATTCAGTGACAGATCAGAATTCCATTTATTTATTTATTTTTTTCACTAATATTATTCTGGAAAAATCAGAGTCTGATTTTTTTAATCAAGTGAGTTTGGTCCATTGGCTGTGACAGGGATTGACTGATCCACTTGTTGCCCAAGCTTGACATCATGGGTTGAGAGAGAGTGACATCATGGCCTTTCATGCCAAAGGCAGGGCTAGAACTCAGAGTCTTCTGGTTTCTAGTCTGGTACCTTAACAACTAAACCAAAATGACTCCCTTCCTGAGCAGCCTATCTATCCCATAGGAAATTGCCATTTTGTTAACAAAATTTTACTGCAAAGAGGAAAATAATGTCATGCAAAATATAAAATACAGGTATCACATTAACTAAGATATTTAAAATGTGTTAACCGAATTATATCTTAGTTGCAGAGGTGTACTGTACGCCCATACTTAGCCATCCACATTTGTTTTGGATAGTGAGGTAGCATATAAATTATATAAATAAATGCAACCTACTTTCAATTTTGTAGGATTGATTTCTGATCAGACACAGAACTGTTTTTATCCAAGGAGCAAATATACTATGGCTTGCATTCTCTTCTTCTTTCTTCTTTCTTTTTCTTTCTTCCTCTCCTCCTCCTCCTCCTCTTATTCTTCTTTTGGTATTGCCACAAATAAGTATGATGTAGGTTTAATTTTAAAATAAAATAAAAGCTGAACTCAGCTATATTTTACAGGGATGTATCTCAGTCCACCTGATTGAGAAGATGCCCCATGAGTCTCTCTCACTCCCTAGCTTTGAACTAATATTCCTTGCTGATGTGGTAAGGTGGTATTATTTTTATTATGATGTTGTTGTTCATATTAATCATGTTATATTTATGTATCACTTTTCCTCTCAAAAGAACCCAATATCTTTGAGTAGGAGCACTTTTACAAGATGGGAGTCCAAACATCAGGTAACAAACAAAGAGAAGAGCTGACTGGTGTTTTTTAAACACCACTCCAAGCAACACGATGGAAGGACAAACAGAGTTTAGAGTTAAGAGTTCTGTATCTTACCAGCAGTTTTCCTTTGGGCAACATAACATACCTTATATGACCATTGTTCCATACTGCTTTTAGCTTGCCTCTCTAATCTCTCATTGTGTCAGATGTTTCTCCACACCAAAAGCCATTTCTTCTCAGCTCAATACCACCATAGAATTTGTCTCAGAAAAGTCTTTTCCTACCAAAATACCTGGAATTCCAGTTTCTGCTTCCGGATCAATGCTGCCTCACCACTGCCATTGCTAGAAGGAAAAGAGATGCCAGTGTTAAAAGGTGAACTGGGGAAAGCACGGAGGCGGCGATACAGATTATGGTACATTTTAAGATGTGGCATCACTCTGCCAGCTCCAGGGCAGCCCCATCCGCTGACAGGTGGGCCCCCAGGATTACCTGCTTCCCAAAGATTCTGAATGCCATGGCATTGCAGGGACTTTGTGACCTCACAAAAGCTTCAAAGGCCATCCAGGTGTAGGTAGGGAAAATAATTTTTGTATCCAGACATCCCTCACCTCCAGTGTTCACCCCACCAAAAACTCATCAGTTAAACCGTTTCCCCCGAAAATAAGACCTTATTTTCTTTTGGGCCCCAAAAACAGGACTAGGGTTTATTTTCAGGGGGGATTTTTTTTTTCCAGGTATGGAAGGCCCACTTCTTCTGCTTGCTCACGGTGGGATAGGAGGCCATGTGGCATGTTAGTGCCGCTAGCATGAGGTGGGGAAGTAAAGCTGCCCACATACCCTGCACCGCCTTACCTCAGGGCCCCCACAGTCAGGCCACCCATGCTCCAACATCTGCTCCAGTGACCCTATCCCGCAGGACCCCATGTGGCTACCGGCCCACCTCTGCTTGCTCGCGGCCGCAACAGAGCAGGAGACCAAGTAATGTGTTGGTACTGCAGCCACAAGGCAAGCCGAGCTGCCTCATGTGGCCTGCACCAGTTAACCTCAAGGCACCCACAACCAGACCATCCACACCCCAACACCTGCCTTGCAGCCATGACACCAACATACCACTTGGCCTCCTGCTCTATTGCAGCCACAAGCAAGCAGAAGTAGTGGACCGGTGGCCACGTGGGCTCCTGCAGCACATGGCTGACAGTGCCACCATGGCAAGGCAGGTGTCAGACATGGATGGCCTGGCTGCGGGGGCCCTGAGGTAAGCCAGTGTTGGGCACGTGGGGCAACTCCATCTCCCCCACCTCTCCTCGTGGCCACGATACACACACACATATACACAGACACATATATACTGTTTTCCCCAAAATAAGACATCCCCTGATAATAAGCCCAATTGGGCTTTTGAGCGCATGGCAATAAGGCCAAGCGTTTATTTCAGAGTTCAAAAAAATATAAGACAGGGTCTTATATTCAGGGAAACACAGTATGTGTGTGTGTGTGTGTGTGTGTGTATTATATTAATATATATATATATATATATATATATTATATATATATATATATATATATATATATATATATTATTCTTACTTCTTCGTAGGGTTTATGTGTGTTTTTCTTCTAGCCAGGTTTTCCCTACGTAGCCAAGGTTTTTTTGTAGCTCCAGCTCAGTAGAATCACATCTACTGGTTCTGGGCTTTTTTCCTTTCTAACACCTAGCAAGCTCTAACTGCTAGGTGGGAGACCTAAATAGATCCATTTCTAGCTCGTTAGCTGTCATCAGTAGGCCACACTAGAGAAAAAGCCCAGAACCGAGTAGATAGATGTGAGCTGGAGCTACAAAAAAAAACCTTGGCTACGTAGGGAAAACCTGGCTAGAAGAAAAACACACATAAACCCTACGAAGAAGTAAGAAAATTGATACTGTGCCTTTACAGGGAGGATATGGGTGTGGCCTACTGATGACAGCTAACGAGCTAGAAATGGATCTATTTAGGTCTCCCACCTAGCAGTTAGAGCTTGCTAGGTGTTAGAAAGGAAAAAAGCAGCCCGAACCGAGTAGATGTGATTCTACTGAGCTGGAGCTACAAAAAAAAACACCCTTGGCTACGTAGGGAAAACCTGGCTAGAAGAAAAACACACACACACACACACACACACACACACACACACACATATATATATATATATATACATAATATACACATATACATACACATACATACATACATACATACATACATACATACATACATACACATATCTTCCATTCTTTCTTCCCCAGGTCCCCTCAGAACCTCCACAAAAGTTCAGGCCTCAAAGTCCTTTTGACAATCAAACTAGTATAAAATCAAAATACACTGCTCAAAAAAATAAAGGGAACACAAGCAGAAGACATCCGAGATCTGAATGAATGAAATAGCCGTATTAAATACTTTGTTACATACAGTAGTTTTGTGTTCCCATTACTTGTTTGAGCAGTGTATAAACTACTGTATGTAAAGAACAAAGTATTTAATACGGCTATTTCATTCATTCAGATCTTGGATGTCTTCTGCTTGTGTTCCTTTATTTTTTTGAGCAGTATACATACAAAATACCGTGAAGGCCTCGAAGCAGAAGGCAACTACTCTAGAAAGAACAAAAATAATTAGATGTCCCACCCTAAAGTTTCACTGAACTAGAAGGCTAGACCAGTCTGCGATATTATGTTTAGATTAAAAGTACAATAGGTTAATGTGAGCTTCTAATGTCACAATATTACCATAACTGAAGTAGGGCAAAGTACAATTATTTTATCTGGAGACTGTTTGTTTGTTTGTTTATTCAATCTATAGGCTTCCTGAGCCCCAAAAACTCTGGTCAGCTTATAATTTAAAAAGTAAAAAAGGCAAATGTATAAATTTTAAAAAACCTAACTGAACAGGGACTCAACCATTTCCTTGACCCAAAGCCTAGGAGAATAAACAGATTTGCTTCTCAATTGTCATCTGAATGGGAGCCATGTTGATTTCTCAGAGGAATCATTCTACAGGCAGGCAACCGTGACAGAGAAGACACCAGAAGAAACTGTCAAATCAACAGATCAAGCGGAGATCACTCTGCTTGATCTCAACAGAAGGACAGAAACAACAAAAGGAGGCAGTTCCTCAGATAAAAATATCTTATGCCATGAAGCACCTAAATGCAGAGATATCCTATCAAAACCGTGGCATATGATTTTAGTACTCATATAAATGATGGAAGTTAAAATTAAATCCCAACAAAGCAAAAATAACTGGCATTCTGTTATTATCTTTTCCTGCATGAACTTCCCTTCCATCTTCCAAAGAAGTTTCCACCATTCCTGGGAAGAGCAGAGACTTTTTAGTTGTGGCCCTGAGATGGTGAAGGAGGCCTATCCAAATTCCATTTCTTGGTCTCTGGGAAAAAACCTATTCAGCCATGTTGCTCTCTAGATGATTTGAGGGCCAGCTTGCCTCACAAAGTTGTTCTGAGGATGAAATCCAGGAAGGTGGAATCACTCAGTCTTTTAATCCTTAGAGCAGTATTTCTCAATCTTGGCATTTCAAGATGTATGGACTTCAACTCCCAGAATTCCCTCAACCAGTTTGCCAGCTGGGGAATTCTAGGAGTTGAAGTCCATATATCTTAAATTTGCCAAGGTTGAGAAACATTGCTTAGAGAGGAGATAGAAATGTAATATATACAGTATATGAGACCCATTGTAGTGTTTATATGTAGCTACTTACTGATGTACTAAGAAAAAAATACAGTTTTCATTTTGAGCATCCATCCATTGGCCTACCATTGTTCCCACATGTATGCAAATTCCAGACTCCAGATCAGAATGGATTTTTTTTAATCACTTCCCATGCCAATCATCACACTGGCAATCCCATTAGTTTTTCAGTATTATTTCCAATTCTTTTTTTTTTAAGTGGCACATTGTTACTATTTGAAACCTGTTCTGAGTGGGTAGTAGATTCATATCTGATACAAGGACCAGCCAATCGGAGTATGGATAGCCTTTTGAGAAAAAGCAAATAGGAAGTTTGTCCTTTGCATTTTAAGTTGGTCACAACATGGACAGGAAAAAAAGAAAGAAAACTGATGCTAAAATAGGACTATCTTTAAAAATAAAGACTCAATCTTTCATAAAGAACTTTCCAATGCAAAATCTCAGCCTTTCTCATAGGTACGACATGACCCACATAGGCATTCCTTCCCAAAATATTAAGTACAGATAGTCCTTGCTTAACAATGGTAATCGAGACTAGTATTTCCATTACTACATGATGCAATTGTAAAATGCAATGTCATACGAGCATGCTGCTTATCAAAGGGAGTTCTAGAAGTTACCAGTTACTATTAAGTGAATCATCATAAACCATTAAGCGACCATCTCACATGATGTTGACTTCTGATTTCCTGCCATCTTCCCCAGTGGCTTTGCTTGTGGGAAGGCAGTAGGGAATATCACAAATTGCAATTATACAATCACAGAATGCTGTGACAATCAGAAATCAAGGCCAGTTACCTACTATCTGGATAGGCAGATGGTAGGCACCATGTGATCCTGGGAGTGCTGTAACTTTAAGAAACAGTTGTACCACTTGTTCAATGCTGTTGTAAGTTCAAACAGTCGCTGAACAAGTGGTTGTTAAAAAGGACCACCTTAATACACAGGGCTAGACTCTGCTACCATCAACAAATTTAAACATCCATTCCCACCATGTCTTTATTGTTATCTTCCTTACCTTCCAGGTGAAGATGTAGTTGAGGATTCCATGATGCTGGGGGAAAATAATCAGTACAGAAAAATCAAATCATGACTATTAAAAAGGCTTTTTGAATGCTAAATCAGCTTCATACAATAAAATAAATGACTAGATTCTTCTGTTTTTATCACAAATATTCAGTGCTCCTTTTTCAAGCAGGCCACATCTATAAAGCTCTAAGCTATACTAATGTAACCATAGGTCTATAGTATTACATTTGGGATGCAGAAATCCTACAGATCACTAGACGACAGCAATGTAATGTGTAATGTTATGTTCAGAGCCTTACATTTCATGCATGTAAAAAGACTGAGCTTAGCTGCTAAGGTTGTGACCTTGACTTTTTTTCCTTTGCTTATCATTTAAAGGTACAGGTAGCCCTCAACTTACAACCATACGTTTAATGACCATTCAAAGTTATAATGACACTGAAAAAAGTAACTTATGAACTTTTTTTTTACATGACCATTGCAGCATCCTCATAGTCACTTGATCAAAATTCAGACGTTTGGCAACTGACATGTTGTAGTGTCCCAGGATCATGCAATCACCTTTTGTTATCTTCTGAAAAGCAAAGTCAATGGGAAAGCCTGATTCACTTAACAACAGTATTATAACAACAACTGCGGTGATTCGCTTAACAACTGTGGCAAGAAATGTCACAAAATGGGGCAAAACTCAATTAATTGTCTTGCTTAGCAACAGAAATTTGGGCTCAGTTGTGGTTGTAAATCAAGGATTACCTGTACATCCCACAAAGTCCATCAGTAAAAGTTTGTATGCCTTTTTTAATGTCAAGAGAGAGAATGTGTTTAAAGAAAAGTTTAGCATTTTAAAAAGGGTGGGAAAAAAGGGTATTTTTCTTTGTAAGGTCAAAGAATTTGAAAGAATATAGTGAACTTTGCTAATAAAAATGATGGTAGTTCACAAAGATTATTAATGTCAGCATTCCAAGTAATGCACCCATAGAAAGTAGAATTCCGAGGCAGGTGGACTCCTCAAAGAACAATTTATTGGATAAAGCATATTGGCATAACTGATGAAAACCAAATCTGAAAGTTCCTGCAGTTTTCATTCAGTGAAAAATGGAAGTTCCCCCTTTCCCACAAGTCATCCATCACATTGTCCAATAGAGGTGCTGGCTGGTTGCTTGGTTACTCTACTCCTCCTCCTCCTTCCAGCCACCTGTTGAAACGTTCTTGGTTCCCACAGGAAATTTTTTTATTTTGGCTACAAACCCTAAGTTATCTGTTTTCCTCCTCCCTCCCATCCAATTAGGACTTGGTGCAAACAGAAATATATACTATTTCCATAGCAAGGAAGATAAAGCAGAAATGGTTAAATTTATCCTTTTATTCAAAGAGGAGAATATATTTAAGTACATTTTTCACTTGGATATCACTTCTGGATTTTATGCTTGTGATAAAAAGAAATGAAACTTTGACTTTGGTTTTGTTAATTAGATAGATTTGTCATTATAGAAATAGCTAGTTATATACTGAACTAATGTGTAAAAACAAAACACTGAGGCTGGAATGTTTTTACCTTGTACTGTGCTAAAAGGAGTCAGAAGTCAATGCCTTCTTTTTTCTTTTTTCCCTTATACCTCACACTTTCTTTTCCCGTCTTTCTCCTTCTCCTACTCTATTTTTCTTTGTATTTTATATGAGGGAGAGAGGGAGGGAGGGAGGAGGGAGGAGGGAGGGAGGGAGGGAGGGGGAGGAGAGAGAGAGAGAGAGAGGAGAGAGAGAGAGAGAGAGAGAGAGAGAGAGAGAGTGAGAGTGAGAGCACTATTAAAGTGAAAGTATTTCCACCACTGAAAACTTGGTAACTTTTTATTGCATAATGTGAAAAGACACTCTGGAAAGATCTTGCTTTCTGTAGAAGTAGTTGCCAAAAGCTTGATAATATGTGGGAAATTCCTTTAACTACAGGGACTCATCCAGGCAGATGCCAGGAGTCAAGACGAACTCAAAGGCACAGGAGCCCAATCCAAACACTGAACAGACATTGAGGAATTGCTGTTCTGTTCTTATTTGTTTCACATTGTTTCTACCATGTCTCCAGATATATTTTGAATTCCCCTTATACATATATATATTCATACATGTTTCTCCTTGGATCTGCCTCTTCTTTATAATTTTTGGAACTAAGGGAGTTAATTGAAGTTACCTAGGTGGCCCAAAAGAAAATCGACACAATCCAATAGAAATCCAGTGAAGTGAAAAAGTCTTGAAAATTGACATATTTACCCTTTTAATTTCCAGCATGCACATTCCTGGAAGTAGTGATAAACCAGATATTCCCTTTATTCAGATCTGATTTCTTGGTTGATAATGCTCAAAGCAGAAGTTCAAACATTAATCAAGTTGTTACAGTCCATTAAAATCTATCCTAGCAACTCCTAACAAAGGCAATGTAACTCATGCTCAGTTTAATTTTGAAGCTAAGAAGTTGCCAGAACAAATCTTTACAGAAGGATTTCAACTGTGGGAGGATTCTAACAGATGTTCTTGTATATAATATCTGTTCCTTTACTTAAGGTGACTTCATAAGCTCTATGTATATATAACTAAATGAACCAGGATCTTACTAGACATAAGTGATGCCTGGAGAATATTTTTGCCCAGAAAGGCTGTCATAAGAGATTTTAAGGAGTTTTGTGAAGCAGGGAGAATGAAACATTTAATCTAATCATTTAGGGGAAAAAACTCAGGGGAGAAAATTTCAGTCAAATACTTTCTCATTAATTTAGCAGCTGTCCCAGAATGTGGTTGAGATCTACAGATGGATACCAATACTGTATAAATAATGTCACTGAAGACTTCAGTTCCCACCAACCCCAGCAAATTTTATAATTATTAAGGGATTGTGGGAGCTGGAATCCAAAACTTTTACACGGTTGACTGTTCCTGCCCAGCACTCACTTATTTTGAGCAATTAATTTGCTTTTTTTTTCTGTTTTGTTTAAAGCATGGGTGTCTAATCTTGGCAACTTTATGACTTATGGATTTCAACTACCAGAATTTCTCAGTAACCCTGGCTGGGAAATTCTAGGTGGTGAACTCCATAAATTTTAAAGTTGCCAAGGTTGAGCAGCCTTTTAGAGAGTTAATATAAATTGTAAAATAGGGAAAGATTTATTATCATCCCAATCTAGAACATTATAAGAGGTTCTGACACTTTCGTGCCTCACATGTTTTTACTATGTACTTACTTTGATGGGATTTGTAATCTATAAAAAATGAATTTCAGTTTCCATTTCTCTTCCACATTTGTTATTATAAATTACAAGTGAAGGGTTCTCCAAAATAGCTCTAAATCCTTTTTTAAAATTGTAATTCAATACAAAAAGTTTGCAGGAACTCTTAAATAGTGGCTCCCAGAGATAGGTACAATTCTAATTTGTATGGTATCATTAATTATTATTACTATTTCTTCTAACTATCAAACATTATCAATTACATAGGTTTGAAATATATAGCAAAAATCCACAAAGAAGAAAAATAAATCCAACTGCAAATCCTAAAATCAGTCCCACCCCTCATATGGGTTGGCTTGGAAGAATGTATTTCAAACACTTTGGAGAGACAATGGGATTGCCAATATAGTAGTCATCATTTTCTTTAAAAAACAAACGATCAGAGAACTCAATCAACCCTTTTTAATGGTTTAAGATTTCAGGCTATTTCTACCCAATTCAGGATGAACAATTGCAGAAAGCTGGAACCTAAGGCTGATACTGAAAGAGACCTTCTCAAGATGAATAAAGAATTCAGGATGGATTAAAAACACAAAATTGTGACATTTTTTTCTTATGGGTAAATATTGAGTTGGTGTGGGGAAGTAGAGGAAGAGGCAATTATTTTCTGCTCCAGTGCTTTTCTTACCTTAGCCAGTTAAGCCCAAAGACCTACTTTTTACCCTCAGCAATAATCACAGTAGATCTCAGACTGTAGATGTTAGAAAGATTTACAAAGCTGCCTTATGCTAGGTCAGGCTTGGTTTATCAAGCTTAGTATCGTTAATACTGCACATGGGCTTTTCCCCACAGGCATCCAGCTGCCGCGCAAACATGCTCTGGCAACACTTTGTCATTGTGACCCTTGACATTTCTTTCCTCTTCTCTCCAGCAGTGCCTCAATTTATTCTTGGTTTCCCTGTTATTCTGGCACCAACCAAGGGCATCCTTCTAACCTCGGCAACTTTAAGATGTGTGAATTTAATTTGTTGATAATATTCAATAAATCATCTCCAGTCTTGGAAAATCAATACAAAGACAGTATAGTTCATATTGAAGCTTGAAGAATCAACAGCCTAGTTCATTCATATATATTTTTAAAACTCCCTTTTTATGACCCTATAATCCCTTAATTTGCAGTACAGTCTAGCTACTGGATGGACGGATTGATGGATACTGTATGTGAGAATTAAAAACTTTTGTAGTCTTCTGGAAATTATCTATATCTATATCTGTATCTGTACCTGTATCTGTATCCATATCCATATCTACCTACCTACCATGTATATATATATTATGTGTATACGTAGGAAGAACTTGGCTAAAGAGAAATACACATGTGTGTGTGTGTGTGTGTGTGTATACACAATTTTACGGGGGAGAAAACCCGAATAACCAAAGACCTACATACAAATACCAGCGAAAACCTATATATATATATATATATATATATATTATATATATATATATATATATAATGTGTATATAGATCATGTATATATGTTTATGTAAGTTTTCACGGGTATGTATGTGTGTATATTTAATATTTCGGGTTTCTTCCCGTGTAATTGTGGATATATCCCTAAAAGGGTAGAAGCGATGTTTCGACAGAATCCATCTGCCATCATCAGGCTTATGTCAGGAGTCTTGACATAAGCTGATGATGGCAGATGGGATTCTGTCGAAATGTCGCTTCTACCCTTTTAGGGATATATCCACAATTACACGGGAAGAAACCCGAAATATTAAATATACACATCATGTGTGTGTGTATATATATATATATATATATTGTGTATGTGTAATATATATATGTATATGTATGTATGTATGTATGATGTATGTATGTATGTGTGTGTATATATATATATATATATATATATATATATATATATGTATGCATATTCTTTCTAGCCAGGTTTTACCTATGTAAACTAAGTTGTTCTACAGCCCTGGTTCTGTGAAATCTCATTCACAAAGAACCAGGGCTGTAGAACAACTTAGTTTACGTAGGTAAAACCTGGCTAGAAAGAATATGCACATAAAAGCCTATGAAAAAGGAAAGAAGATATATATATTTTCCCAGAAGCTTACAAAAGTTTTTAATCCCCAGAGTCTAAAAATAACAATAAACAATAATGGATAAAAAATACCTTTAATAACTATAAAGATTGGATTGATAAAAACTAGACTGGAATTCTGCTGTGCTCCAAAGTGCCGTATTCTTCCTGTGCTATGAGTCCCTTTGCCTGAATCACAGGTTTCGTTTCTGATTCCACTTGTAGATCTCAGGGTTTGAGTAAAAAGCTCAGCAGATTCTACATGCCTGAAATCTGCCCATTTCTACCTTAGATGGCAGACTTCGCAACAGTGCAACCAGTTTTGCCCTTAGAAGTTTTTTTTTAAAAAAAACATGACCTCAGGAGACTAAGAGTGTGGATTAAAAGCATGAAGGTTTGGTAATAGCAGGACTGTCCATTTCAGGCATCTATAGTTATCCCAAGATGGACAGGGCATTAGAGATTAACATGAATAAAACCTCAGAGGCACACACTCACACACATAGATAGAGAGAATGCTCTCTGTAACTTACATCTTGTGTCTCGGAGAGGACTGCACTAAAATAGGCTCCAACTGCAACTGAAAGTGGGGAAAAAGAAACAGATATTTAAGAATATCTTGCAAAATAGTTTTCCTGCACCTTTAAGTACGGCCCAGCAATTTGATCTCTGACTCAGAAAGTGCCTCTGTTCTAAATCACTGAACTCTACTCCTCTTTGAAGCAAAAAGTCCTTGCTTTCTTCTCTTTCTTTTTTGTGCCTGTGTTACAAAGCTCCAGAATCCATGATTGCTTCTGTGCTCAGCCACTTTTGACGCACACTAAAAACATGTTTCAAATATTTGTATCCCACAGTTTGCTATGGAATGCAAACAAAGCTAACTGAGCGATACAACAGAATCATATTCAATCCCAAAAAAAGCCAGGTTCCCTTTTTACTTACCCTCTTTCTACAGTATCCAGTAATCCCAGTTCTCAAATCTCAAATCTCCAAGTTAGATCCTGCCCTCCCTCCCATTTTTTTTCTCTTTCTCTTTCTCTCCCTTCCCTTCTTTCTCTCCCTCAGTTCTGACGTTGCCTCCAAATTGCAGCTGGCTCAGTGGGAGGGCAGTGGATGGTCCCTCCTCCTCTCCCACCAAAACCGGCATCGCATTCTCTCCTGCTTAATCAGCTTTGTCTGTCTTAAGTCTCCAGGTCTTATGGCTGGCATAGAGTCTTCTTTATGGAGACTTTGGAGTTTGTATATATAAAGGCCTACTGTAGACTCTGCCAGTAGGCACATATTTCTCTACACCCTGTTTGAATATACGGTACTTAAAAGTAAGAGAGAAAGTGGGTATGTGAGTGATTAGCTTCAGAAATCCACGTGGGTACATTTGTATTTAGATAATTAGGTTCCCCAACGTCCCTGGCTGCACATAAGATCTTAGTTATGCAAATAGTGGGAAAAAACAATTGCAGGCATATTGTATATTCATTCACCTACGTGTGAACATATTGCCTTTCTCTATGAAGGTGCATAAGAGTATTGAGGCCCAAAAAGGGAGGGGTATTTAATTTGGCCACACAACCAGATGCAGAAATTATGTGCAAATGAACATATATGAACTCAAAGCATCATACAGTTGTTAAGCATCATGATGCACATATAAGCAGCTTTGAGTAATTGGCATAATTGGCATTTCAATGGCTTGGATTCAGATTGAATTTTTACACAGCCAAGCTGATACAATTCAATAGCCCATTTTGTTTTTCCTGTAGAAGTTTCTGCAGATTTAGGAAAATACTAGAAGCTGGGTCAAGGAATCCCACTGGCTATGATGGAAGGGAGGAATTCCTGAAAAAAACAGAGGCATCTTCTGTGACATTAATTCTGCTCCTACAAAGAATTTCCATTCAGTTTTCAGACATTCCTTCTCAGCTCTGTAGCTGACCTAATTCAGGACTCTCCTAATATATGTGACTGACTATCATGGCAAAATAACAGAATAATAGAGTTGGAAGGAACTCTATTCTAGATCTTCTAGTTCAGCTCCCTGCTCAAATAGGAAACCCTAAACCATTTCAGACAAATGGCGTACAATCTCTTCTTAAAAACTCCAGTGTTGGAGCATCCACAACTTCTGGAGGCAAGTTGTTCCACTGATTGTTTTAACTGTCAGAAAATTTCTCCTTAGTTCTAGGTTGGTTCTCTCCTTGATTAATTTTCATCTATTGCTTCTTGTCCTGCCTTCAGGAGCTTTGGAGAATAGCTTGGCTCCCTCTTCTTTGTGGCAACCCCTGAGTTATTGGAACACTGCTATCATGTCACCCCTAGTCCTTCTTTTCATTAAACTAAACATACCCGATTCCTGTAACCGTTCTTCATACATTTTAGCCTCCAGTCTAAACATCAACTGTGTTGCTCTTCTCTGTGTTCTTTCTAGATTCTGAATATCTTTTTATATCATGGCGATCAAAACTGGATGCAATATTCCTAGTGTGGTCTTACCAAAGTAATATTAACACTTCACATGATCTTGATTATATCCCTCTGTTAGCTTTTCTGGCAGCTGCAGCACACTGCTGGTTCATATTTCAGTGATTGTCCACTAGAACTCCAAGATCCTTCTTTCATAGTTACTACTGTTGAGCCAAGTACCATCTATTCTGTACCTATGCATTTGGTTTTTCTTGCCTAAATATAAAACCTTACTTTTCTCTACACTGAATTTCATTTTGTTAGATAGGGCCAGTGTTCAAGTCTGTCAAGATCCTTCTGTATCTTGAGCCTATCTTCTACAGCAGGAATGTCAAACTCAATTTCATTAAGAGCCACATCAGGGTTGTGTTTGACCTTGGCGGGAGAGGGGTGCTGAGTGGGCATGGCTGGGGTGGGCATGGCCAGCTTGACGTCCTGCAGTCCTCTACCAGTGAAAACGGAGCCTGGGAGGGTCCTCCCAAGCTCCATATTCGCTGGCAGAAGGCTGCACAAGGCCATTGCAGCCAAAAAACGGAGCTCAGGAGGGCTGCACACGGCCCCACTGAGATCCATTTTCATTGGCAGAGGCACCATAGGCTGGTCCTTCGCTGTTTCTAGGATGGCCCTGCGGGCCAGATCTAAGCATCCTGCGGGCTCATTTGGCCCACAGGCCTTAAGTTTGACACCCCTGTTCTAGACTATTGGCTATTCCTGCTAGCTTGGTGTCATCTGCAAATTTGATGAATTGATGGCAAAATGAATAACTCCATACCAGTCACATGCACATTCATACCCAGTATTAAATGTTCAGGAAATGACGATGTGAATGTCTTTACATCATCAGCTTTATCTATTGTTGTACTTCAAATTCCCATAATCCCCATGAATTTTGGAGTTGCAGAGCAGAGTTTGGGAAATATTGTCTTTATTTTCACTTTAAACCAGTGTTTCTGAACGTTGTCCATTTTAAATGTGGACTTCTTCCTAGAATTCCCTAACCAACTATTCCCTAGCCAGGAATCTTAGAAGCTGGAGTCCACACAACTAAAATGTTGCCAAGTTTGGAACTGATTTAATCAAAACAAATGTTGTGCTATACCTGTCCAATTTAAAATAAAACTTTACAAAAAGGCTTATTAATATTTGGATGGGACACCCACCATGAAATCCCAGGATGGCATACTCTAATAAGAAGTTGAACAAACATCTCAGAAGAAAGCAATAGCAACACATTTCATTGCCATTAAAACAATGTGTTTCTATAATATGACAAGGAGCCAAGCTTGTCTAAAAAGAACTTTACTATGAAAGTCTCTGGTCATTTATAATTTTGTATCCTGTTATCGTAAGCAGGTAGTCTGTCTATTTATCCAACCATATTTCATCAAGAGAAATATCTTCCCCTTATTTACATTACAGTTATATTGTTGGATTGGACTATAATCTCATAATTCTGTCCCAATCAATATCTCTAAGAGGCTTCGAAACATAAATTTAAGATCCCTGTTTTTTCTTTTCTTTTTTTCTTTTTTTTAATTTGATTTATATGCCGCCCTTCTCCGGAGACTCAGGGCAGCTTACAATGCGTTAAGCAATAGCCTTCATTCTTTTGTATATTTTATACAAAGTCAGCTTATTGCCCCCACAAACTGGGTCCTCCTCCTGGGTTCTTGTTGCTGACGTCTAAAATCTGATATTCAGAGGCATCTCTGAATATGTGAATTTCCCTCAGGTCTAAGATGTATTCATCAATGTAGTTTCAGTTCATTTATTTAACCCTTTTAAAAAAATCTATCGTGACTACTAATGACTTAGATTATGCATTTATATTTTCTAAGTTTCACCCTGTGCCATGTTAAGTACATACTTTTGTTAGCCCGACTGCTGACCTCTTTAATTAGGAAAACCCAAATTCTAGAAATGAATAAGTAAAAAAGAAAGTGTATCTAACTACTTTCTTAATCTTGCTCATAACTTTACAAATTGTTATCAGATGAGTTCACATTGTGCCTTAATGTCATATGTCTTGTCCTTTGTCTTAGAGTAATGTGCAAACCCACTATGGTTTGTAAACTGAGCTTATAACTTGATATTATGTGTGAAATCAACTACTAGGTTTATTCAATTGTGTATTTAAAAAAGACGTATCTTAGAACACTATGTGAACACAGTAGTCATGTTTCTACATAAGTCTTTTACGTAGTGTCCCATATGTACTTGAACTCAAATAGAAAAATAAGTATTTCTTTTTTTTCCCTTTCATTAACTTACCTTATCTGGAGATTTTAGCCTTTTTGACATGCTAATATCATCTTCCCAGTGGAGCATGGCCATTGCACTTCGTTATCCTATAATCCTAAAAACGTATTTGCCAATATATTTTTGCAAAGCAGCCTTTGCTGCTTTAAAAAAAAATCCCTCAGGAAATAGACCAGTTCAAGTTCAAAAGTTGCTATTTTACTTAACTTTCTCCCTGCTAATTATGGTAATATTTTTATTTCTACAATTCACTGAAGCTGCTTTATGCACTTGTGTATCTAATGTTAAGGGCTAGGGCTGCCAAACAGGTTACTGTTTTCTTATTGAACAATGGGTAACCATGACAGTGCCAGCCAGTTACAAAGGATTAAAAATGGTGTTCTGTTCTGGAATGATGAATTCCAGAATGTTTATACAATGATTTTCACAATTCCCCTAAGGCAGTCTCCCACAACTGTTACCTTCCTGCAATTATCCAGATGGACCACTTCAGTTTCCATCAATCCTGGCCAGTATAGTTGTTGTCATCAGGATGAAAAACACTATTCTAGAAAACCAATTTTAGCATAGCGTGACCTGATTTTTATGGCTCTTATGTGTGCTAATTTTGTTTGGATTATATCATTTGTCTACCATCAATTTTCTTCTCTTTTTTCTCCTTTCTTTTTGACCCTTCCTCCCCTGAAACAAACTACTTTTAGCTGGATCACCTTCTCATAGCTGTGACTGATCCCTGCATTCCTCTCTTCCATCCTGTGCTTCTTGGCTGTTTTGCTGTCTGCTTTTGCAATGGATTATTTGCAGATATAAAACAAAATAGAACGCTGATATAATTTTTCGTATACAGATAGTCCTCGACTTACAACAATTTGCTTAGTGACCATTCAAAATTACAACAGCACTGAAGAAAGCAACTTATACTGTTTTTCAGACTTATGACTGTTACCACATCCCAATGATCACATGATTAAAATTGAGATGCTTCGCAAGTGATTCATATTTATGATGGTTGCAGTGTCCCAGGGTCATGTGGTCATCTTTTGTGTCCTTCTGACCAGCAAAGTCAATGAGGAAGCCAGATTCACTTAACAAGCGTGTTACTAATTTAACTGCAGTAATTCACTTAACAACTGGGGCAAAAAAGGTAAGTAAAATGGGGCAAAAGGCAAGTAAAATGGGGCAAAATTAATTTAACAAATCTCTCACTTCGCAACATAAATTTTGGGCTCAATTGTGGTCATAAGTCAAAGACTATTTGTACTGTATTTTTCTATTCTTTTACTATCCTACCCACACAATCCCCTGCACAAAAAAACCCACCAAAACTTTTGGACAACAACCCACTTATAGGCCTGCCTGGAACTGCAGAAGTAGAAGCAGATTGTAAAGTCTAATTCTCAGATTCCATTTTAAAACTGGACCGGATGGCTTAAATCATTATTTCTCAACATTAGCAGCTATGAACTTCAGTGCCCAGAATTCTTCAACCTGCCCTGGGGAATTTTGGGTATTGAAGTCCACACATCTTAAAATTGCCAAGTTTGAAAAACATTGGTTTAAAAGGTATATCCTGCCCCTCCTGATGCTTGCTTTTTATGTAACCTAAGACAGAACTATGGGAAATCCAAATCTTCAATTCCCCACCTTTTAAGAATCCGTTTTGAGATTTTTCTTTTGGATAAATTTAAATCTTAAATAAAAAAAAAAATCCTGTGCAGTTTTTAATTAGAGCTATTCCATTTGGATAGCAAAAAATCCGGACAGCACATTAGATGATAGCGATTATCTGGATTTTGGTAACCCAAATTGGATAGTTCTATTTTCATGCACCTTGAACATGCTCAGGAGCAGGCTTGAGTCTTGCTTTTTTCACCCAGCCTTCAATTGATTTCTTGAATTCAATGAAAAACAAATTTATAAAGAAACCCTGTCACGGATTGTATACCGACACACTATATTCCGTGAACCTGTATCACTTGGTGGTGGGGGAGGATTCTTCGCGGAAAACTGTAAAAAGGAAGAATGTTAGGAGCGTTCCTTCCGGGAAAAGGGGCGGATTCTTATAGGCCCATGCAAATAAGGGGAAGCGAAGGCGTGGTCTTCTATGCAAACGAGCCTGAAATACAGGTCATGATGCAAAACGGAGCGCCGGACGTGACACGGTAGAAAGTGGCGTATCCGAAACTCAGGATAAAGAGGCGTGGCCAGCTAGGTAGATGTTAAGGCGGGGCTTAGAGGTGGGCTTGAGAGGCGGTTAGAGTCGAGTAGCTGGTAGAACGTTCGCGGCCTGGGTCACGTGGCGCGCAGTCCCGGCACAGAAGAGCTTTGGATAATCGAGAGTGAAAAGTCGGTGTTCCCGAAGGTTTCTCTGTGCATGTACAGAGTGCGTTTGGTTCACATTTCCGGCTCCAACTCGTGCAATTCGTGATCAGTGTCTGTAAGGAAAAGAGAGTGCCGTTCTCCACCGTAAGTACGGCCCCGGCTGTGTGGAAGGGTATATTTATTGATTTGACAGCTGAATTTTGGTATGTCGAAAAGCAAAAAAAAAAAAGCTCCTTTGTGTGTATCTGGGCTTCGTGATTTTGTAGGATTTGGTTTTAACAGAATAACGAGTTGGAGGGGACCTTGGAGGTCTTCTAGTCCAACCCCCTGCTCAGGCAGGAAACCCTAATACCGTTTCTGGCAAATGGTTGTCCAATCTCTTCTTAAAGACTTCCAGTGTTGAGGCAGTCACAATTTCTGGGTTTGGGGCTTGATCTACAGTGAAAAAACTTGTCATGTTACCTTCAGTTTCTTTCCGTGGAAATGGAAGATGGTGACCCAGGAATTTGTTGCTTGCTCCTGTTTGAATTACATGAAGGAATCCCGTTCATGGATTACTGCCTTGTCTGCCTCAATGAAGCTATGAGCTATGCCGTGCAGGGACACCCAAGACGGACAGGTCATAGCAGAGAGTTCTGACAAAACGTGACCCATTGGAGAAGGAAATGGCAACCCATGAATCCAGTATCTTTGCTATCAAAACCCCATGGACAGTACAAAAAGGCAAAAAGATATGATGCTGGAAAATGAGCCCCTCAGATCGGAAGGTGTCCAATATGCTATTGGGGAAGAGCAGAGGGCTAGTAATAGTAATGCCAGAAAGAGTGAAGCGATTGGGCCAAAGCCGAAAGGACGCTCAGCTGTGGATGCATCTGGTGGTGAAAGGAAAGTCCGATGCTGTAAAGATCTATTCTCCATAGGAACCTGGAACATAAGATCCATGAATCAAGGCAAGCTGGACGTGGTCAAACAAGAGATGATAAGACTGAACATCAACATTTTAGGAATCAGCGAACTAAAATGGACAGGAATGGGTGAATTTAATTCAGATGACCATCAGGTATACTGCTGCAGGCAAGAATCCCTCAGAAGAAATGGAGTAGCCTTCATAATCAATAAAAGAGTAGGAAAAGCAATACTGGGATGCAATCCCCAAAATGACAGAATGATCTCGGTTCGAATCCAAGGCAAACCATTCAATATCGTAGTTATCCAAGTCTATGCCCCAACCACGGATGCTGAAGAGGATGAAACTGACCGGTTCTATGAAGCCCTACAGTACCTTATAGAATTAACACCAAAAAATTATGTCCTTATCATCATGGGGGATTGGAATGTTAAAGTAGGAAGCCAAAAGATAACCAGAATAACAGGCAACGTTGGCCTTGGAGTACAAAATGAAGCAAGGCACAGGCTGGTAAAATTTTGTCAAGAGAATATGATGGTCAGCAAACACTCTTTTCCAACAACCCAAGAGATGACTCTACACATGGACATCACCAGACAGTCAACACAGAAATCTGATTGATTATGTGCTCTGCAGCTAAACATGGAGAAGCTCTATACAGTCAGTAAATCAAGACCAGGAGCTGACTGTGGCTCAGATCATGAGCTTCTCATTGCAAAATTTAGTCTTAAATTAAAGAAAGTAGGGAAAAGCACTAGGCCACTCAGGTATGAACTAAATCATATCCCTGATGAATATACAGTAGAGGTGACAAATAGATTTAAGGAATTAGATCTGATAGACAGAGTGCCTGAAGAACTATGGACAAAGGTTCACAACATTGTACAAGAGGTAGCAACTAAAACCATCCCAAAGAAAAAGAAAGGCAAGAAAACAAAATGGTTGTCTGAGGAAGCATTACAAATAGCTGAGGAAAGAAGGGAAGTGAAAGGCAAGGGAGAAAGAGAAAGATATACCTAATTGAATGCAGAATTCCAGAGAATAGCTAGAAGAGATAAGAATGTATTCTTAAATGAACAGTGCAAAGAAATATAAGAAAATAATAGAATAGAGAGGACCAGAGATCTCTTCAAGAAAATTGGAGATATGAAGGGAATGTTTCATGCAAAGATGGGCATGACAAAGGACCAAAATGGCAGGGACCTAACAGAGGCAGAAGAGATTAAGAAGAGGTGGCAAAATTACACAGAAGAACTACACAAGAACGAGTTTAACATCCCTGATAACCACAATGGGGTGATCACTGACCTGTAGCCAGACTTCCTGGAATGTGAAGTCAAATGGGCCTGAGCAACAACAAAGCTAGTGGAGGAGACAGTATTCCAGCTGAGCTATTCAAAATCTTAAAAGACGATGCAGTAAAAGTGCTACACTCAATTTGCCAGCAAATTTGGAAAACTCAACAGTGGCCACAGGATTGGAAAAGTTCAGTTTACATTCCAATTCCAAAGAAAGGCAATGCCAAAGAATATTCAAACTATTTTTTTTTTAATTTGATTTATATGCCGCCCTTCTCCAGAGACTCAGGGCGGCTTACAATGCGTTAAGCAATAGCCTTCATACTTTTGTATATTTATACAAAATCAGCTTATTGCCCCCACAAACTGGGTCCTCATTTAACCTACCTTAGAAAGGATGGAAGGCTGAGTCAACCTTGAGCCTGGTAAGATTTGAACCTGCAGAAATTGCAGGCAGCTGTGTTAATTACAGGGTGCATTAAACCACTGTACTACCAAGGCTCTTTTTTTGCACCATTGCACTCATTTCACAAAGTTATGCTCAAAGTTTGAGCAAAGTTATGCTCAAAATCCTATAAGCTAGGCTCCAGCAGTATGTAGACCGAGAACTACCAGAAGTACAGGCAGGATTTCGAACAGGCAGAGGCACTAGAGATCAAATTGCCAACATACGCTGGATCATGGAAAAAATGGGAGTTCCAGAAAAACATCTACTTCTGTTTCATTGACTCTGCTAAAGCCTTTGATTGTGTGGATCACAACAAATTGTGGCAAGTTCTTAAAGAGATGGGAGTACCAGACCATCTTATCTGTCTCTTGAGAAACCTATATGCGGGTCAAGAAGCAACAGCGAGAACTGGACACGGAACCACTGATTGGTTCAAAATTGGGAAAGGAGTCCGGCAAGGATATTGGTATACTGTATACTTGTATACTGTATATTGTCGCCCTGCCTATTTAACTTATATGCAGAGCACATCATGAGAAAGGTGGGGCTAGATGAATCAAAAGTTGGAATTAAGATTGCCAGGAGAAATATCAACAACCTCAGATATGCAGATGATACCACTCTAATGGCAGAAAGCAAAGAGGAACTAAAGAGCTTCTTGATGCTGGTGAAGAAGAAGAGTGGAAAAGTTGACTTGAAGCTCAACATTAAGAAAACTAAGATCATGGCATCCGGCCCTCTCAATTCCTGGCAAATAGATAGGGAAGAAATGGAGGTAGTGGCAGATTGTATTTTTCTGGGCTCCAAGATCACTGCAGATGGGAACTGCAGCCAAGAAATTAAAAGATGCTTGCTCCTGGGGAGGAAAGCTATGGCAAATCTAGGCAGCATACTAAAAAGCAGAGATATCACCCTGCCAAGAAAAGTGTGTATAGTCAAGGCTATGGTTTTCCTAGTTGCAATGTATGGCTGTGAAAGTTGAACCATAAGAAAGTCTGAGTGCCAAAGAATTGAGACCTTTGAATTATGGTGCTGGAGAAGACTCCTGTGAGTCCCTTGGACTGCAAAGCAATCAAACCGGTCAGTCCTAGAGGAGATAAACCCTGACTGCTCTTTAGAAGGCCAGATCCTGAATGAAACTCAAATACTTTGGCCACCCTGTTAGGTTCAGCTTGTAGTTTACTCCTAACTTGTTGGTCAGGCAATATATCTGTTTCTTTAAGAAACAACTGAGCCATGTAATCAGGGTTTGCTGAACCCTGTAATTAGGCTACAGTGCATAAATAAGCAGCACAGAGAAGCGTTCGTTCTTCCTGCTTCTTCCGGATTGATACCTGATTGTATCCTGTTGCTTACTGCGTCTGTTATATGGTACTGTATACCAAGAGTTACTAAAGTCTGTTTGCTTTGGTAAGGGAAGATACTTACTGGACTGATATTACTGTTTATGACCTTGGACTGTTTTACTTACACCGAGACTGCTTGTTATCTATAAAGTATTTTTCTCACACGAGCCGCACTTTTATCTCCTTCCCTGTGTGTTTCTGCTCTGCTCGTTGCACAAGCAACAAATACTTTTTACACACACCCTAACATTGGTTATGGGCCCAGAACGTTCCAGGGCTCTTTAATTTGTTTTTGTGGAAGTGAGAAGTGCAGGCAGTGGGTGTAGTAGTCAAGATCAGTGGTCCCCAACCCCCGGTCCGCGGACCGGTGCCGGGCCGTGGAGTACCTGGCACCGGGCCGCGCAGCGGCCGGGGGACATCAACGCTGCAGCGCAAAGGCTCCTGGGCCGTGCGCAATGGGCCGTGCGCAAAAGCTCCTGGGCCGTGCCCTCACCCCTGCGCGCGCTCAGCGGGCCGCGGTGATAAAAAGGTTGGGGACCACTGGTCAAGATGATGGCTTTTGAGCAAGGTACAAGTTATTCTACTATAACCCGGTTGGATGGTACAAACTATGTTACCTGGTCCACAAAATGCTGTCTACTTTTGCGAAAAGAAGGACTGTGGGACATGGTTAATAATCCACCGGACATAACTGCATTGAATGCTGCTGACGAAGAAGATGCCAAAAAGATAGCGAAGTTTCACAGGGACAACGAGCGTGCTTTATGCATCATTGGCCTGACACTGGGAGACCAGCAACTTGTCTATTTCCGGGGCGAAGAGTCTGCTGCGAGGTGTTGATCAAAGCTAAAGAAGCTCTATGTTCGTGACTCTGTGGGTGTCCATATCTACCTGACACGGAAATTATTTCGCTTACATCTTCAGAAAGGAGGAGACATGATGGCTCACCTGGACTCCATGACAGGGCTTTTCCAGGAGCTACATGAGAAAGACCTTGTGTTTACTGAACTGCATGCAAGTTTATATTATTCTTTCATCGTTGGATGACAGTTATGACTCTTTTGTTTCATCATTAGAAGTATTGTCTAGAGATGAACTAACATTGGCCAGTATAACTGGTAGGTTACTGGATGAGGCCAAACGTAGGCAAGAACGAGACCAGTTAAGGATGCAACAGCAACCAAAAGTGGAAGCTGTATATGAGAATGTCAATATTGTTAAACGCTGTTATGCATGTGGGGCTAAGGGGCACATTGCAAAATATTGTAATAAGAAAGTGTCTGCTAGAAACTCTGCTAAACCCAGGAAAGGGTGTAATTTAGCAACCAGTTCATCTAATAATATAAAAGATGATTGGTGGGTGATTGATAGCGGTGCCTCTCAATCCATAACAAAAAACAGAAAATTGTTTCTAAATATGAAAAAAAGTACTAAAAAGGTCAAATTAGCTAATGGCTGGAATGTGACTGTAGCTGGGGAGGGACTTGTTCAATGTTCTATTAGTAAGCACCCTTTACCCATGCTTTATATCCCTAGTTTGAAATATAACCTTTTATCTGTAAAGTCATTACTTCATTCTGGGTTTACAGTAACTTTTAAAAACAACAAATGTTTGCTGGAATGTGAAGGCACTGTAGTTACTGCAGAATTAGAAAACGACTTATTTGTCATTAGGGATAAGTCATTACTGTTAGTTCAGTCAAAAACTAAATTTGGAAATGTAAAGCCTCATGATGAATGCTTACATTTACTACATAGAAGGCTTGGTCATCTGAATTTCAGGTTGTTGCATTCGACTGTTAAGCAGTCTAAAGGCATTAAGTTAAGGGCTTGCAGCAAATACCTGAACTGTAATACTTGTAACCAGCATAAAAGTAAAGTTACACCTGCAAACCGCTGCAATGGGTTTAAAACAAGTAAACCTTTGGAGGTAGTCTTTTTAGACTTAATAGGGCCAAAGAAACCCAGTTTAGGGGGAGCATGCTATATTTTGAGTATAGTTGATCACTTTACCAGATATGGTTTTTGCTACCTTATGAAGTCCAAAAGTGATACGTTCCAATGTATCACAAACTGGCTTCGTTTTGTAGAAAGGAAGCAGAGGTTTAAAGTGAAATGCATTGTTACTGACAATGGAACTGAGTTTACTAACCATCAGTTGGCTAAGTTTTTGAAGGATGCTGGGATACAGCATAAACGTTCTGCCCCTTTTCGGCCAGAACATAATGCATATATTGAATGAAGAGGCCAGACCCTACAAGCTATGACTAGGACTATGCTGGCTGATGCTTGTTTACCTGATAAATTGTGGGGAGAAGCAATACTATGTGCCAATCATATTTTAAATAATGTGGTGCACTCCTCTACAGGAAAAATACCTTTTACTTTATGGCACGGGAGGAAGCCTGATTTAAGTTATATACATACTTTTGGTGCACCAGCCTGGGTGCATATACCGGTTAGTCAGAGAAGGAAGGACCAACAGAGAGCAAAGAAAATGATTTTTGTTGGCTATGAGGCTAACCATAGGTCCTATAGGTTCTGGGAAAAAGGAACAACAAAAGTTTTGTGTAGCACTAGTGCTAAATTCCTAGAACATGAAGGCTGGGACAGGTTAGAAAAAGCAGACTATGGTTTTACAGATGTGGATGTTAAGATAGACCATATTCCTGATGATAGTTCATCTGAGATGGATGGAAGGACTCACTGGAGAAGACCCTAATGCTGGAAAAGATTGAGGGCAAAAGAAGAATGGGACGACAGAGAATGAGTGTCTGGATGGAGTCACTGAAGCAGTAGACGTGAGCTTAAATGGACTCCAGAGGATGGTAGAGGACAGGAAGACCTGGAGGAATGTTGTCCATGGGGTTGCGATGGGTCGGACACGACTTCGCAACTAACAACAACAACCTGTTTGAACTGTGCAAGTTTCTAAAGGATTCCTATTTTAGAGTTTCTGGCTTCCTCTCCTAAACTGGAGTCCTGTTCCATATTGAACCCTGTTAAAGCAGCTTGTTTTCCTCTCTTAAGTTGCTTACCCTTTCTTCTTTATGTGTCTTGTGATTTCAGGGGCTCAGAAAGATGCATCTACCGTGGTTTATGGCCTTTACCCTCTTAGGGTTGGCTATCTGTGTGCCCATCGAACGGCCCAAAGAGAAACAAGAGGCTGCCCCAGAACCACCAGTAAGTACTCTGAGGATTGTCCATAGTTCTCTGCTTCACCAAAGCCTTTATAAGTCCATATATATTTTATTAGAAGAGAACACTTCTAAAGAACATAAGTTTAAAACTTACATAAGTTTAAAAAACTTTTTAAAAAAATCCTAAAAGAAAAAATACAAAAAATACAAAAGAATAAATACAAAAAATACCAAAAAATACAAAAGTAAGAATAATAGGATATCTAAAGTGTTTCACCTTTTTTTTTGCAAATATGGTTCTCTTCTTCCTATAATCAGCTCTTTTTAATCAATAAATCCCCAAATTGTCTGTTGATTTTTATCCATTTTCAGCAAAAAGTTCATAAAAGATTTCTTTTTTTATACATTATAGTGTATAATCTTTCCTTAAGCAAACAAGCCAATTTAGCAATTTTTGCAAATTGCAGCAGCCTTTATCGAAGCTCCATATAAGTACCCGTAGCAATTGTACTGTCCTTCCCAAATTGGACAACTCACATCCTGCCAGAGAGACTAGCTTGGACTGGAATCTGAGGTGGTAAGATTATGATACTAAAATGGAAACTGCTCCTTTAAGCCCAGCATAGTACTGCTAGGATATGGAGACAGGAAAGCCATTCCAAGTGGAATGGCTTTCCTGTCTCCATATCCTAGCAGTACTAATTGTCAAAAATTTAATGTGGGTTGGCTGAGAGGGTAAAGAGAATGGAAGGGACTGAAGCAGCATTTGGGACTTAACAGAAAAATATATGGCTAAACTAGTATGGCTAAACTGGGTGGTTTTGTTCAGTTCATGAACTGTATTGTATTAACTCATTTGGAAGGAGAGTCTCCAAGGTTTTCTCACTACCTTAGTGACAGCTGGCCTGAGATCATCTTATTCTAGTTGTCTGAACTAGCCACAGATAAAAGATTATAATGGATGCACTGGTAAAACTGTTACAGATGATGTAAGGTGAAAAATGGTGTTGGACCAAATTTCAGAATAATCTGGTGCTCACAAGTTTCCAAGAGAGGCCAAATTGAAGCCCCACATAAGCTACCTTAGCAATTGTACTGTCCCTTCCTATATTTGTGCTTTCCATAACTAGTCTTCAGACACATGCAATATCTAGTGCTAGGTTTAAATAGCAATTATGTGGGTTCATCCACAAGACATTAACAGTAAACTTGGAAGGGACCTTGGAGCTCTTCTAGTCCAATCCCTGATCAAGGCATTGGGCCCTAACTATATAATGAACTATCCCTGGACAATAAAAATTATTCTTCCCTCTCAAATGATTTCCTGACTATGGATAATGTTATATAATAAGTCTCTTCAGAGGGTTTTTTCAGTGCACATTTTGGCAAAAATATCCACTTTGCTCTTGTCCTCTACTTCATCCTTTCCCAACTTGAGGTCCTTAAGTGGGGACTTAAGTTTCCAAAATTCCCAAACGAGCATACTTATGATGAGCTCAAGCTGAGGAAGGCTGCTATTCTCAAACTAAGTTTAAGTGGACATTAAAGTGGACTTAAGTTTAAATGGACATAATATAAATGCACTATCTTTACTTTTAGCCACTCTTATTATTTTCCCCTTCCTTCTCCATTATTTTCAGTTTTAGATTGTAAAGTTCTCGAGGCATAACCTTGCCTTCTTGTATTTAGTAATATATTTTGCATTTTATTAGTATGATACTATCCTTTCTGAAGTTCAATTGTGAATGCTGGTGCTAATGTATCCTGAGTAGCACTATCTGTAACCAGAAGAGAAATTTCAGTAAGTCTTATTTGAAAAAGTGCAACATGTGATGGATCTGACTCCTGACTTTTTTTTTCTGCAGGATACAGGCTTGTATTATCACCGCTACCTCCAAGAAGTCATCAATGTGTTGGAAACAGATGGGCATTTCCGGGAAAAGCTGCAAGCAGCCAATGCCGAGGACATCAAGGTGAATTGGTTTATTAAATACATGCATAGTTGGTTAGGAAGTAAAATACTGTATACTTGATATATAATATAGTAGGAGATATGTAAATTTGTATATAGATTTTGACATAAATGTTAGAAACCAGAGATGTTGAGCAATGTCCATTGTTTTACTTTTAAAACTAATAAAATATTTTTTTAAAAAAAGGTGAATTGGGATATACAAGGTTGGCTGTTGTGTCATAACTAGGGCTAAATCCTCTCTTTTGCCACCATTGTGGGAAGTTCAGTTTGGTAAACTTGGATTTGTGTTTTGGATTTAGTAATGGATACAAACCACCTTTAAACCACCTTAGCACTTTTTACTTACAGAAAGGAATGTGTTCTTACTTTCTTGTGTCTTTAAGTAAAATACAGGGCAATGATACACACACATACATACAGTCCTCCACTTACAACCATTCATCTAGTAACCATGTGAAGTTACAGTGGTGCTGAAAAGAGTAATTTACAACTGGTTCTTGGACTACAATCAGATGCAACATGCCCCTGGTCGTGTGATGAAAATTTAGGCATTTGGCAACTGCCATATATTTAGACCATTGAAACGTCCCAGGGTGATGTGATTGCCATTTGCAACCTTCCTAGCAGCTTCTGACAAAGTTAATGGGGGAATCTGGATTTACTTAATGACCACATGATTCACTTAACAACTGAAGTGATTTGCTTAAAATTTGCAAAAAAAACTATCAGAGCAACTCACTTTAACCGCCTTCTTTAACAATGAAAATTTTGGTAAACTGAGTACTACTTCTATAACAGAATCAACAGGATATAGTGACCAATTAGAATGAGAAAACCTAACTCTATTCAGATCCCAGTGTTTACCCAAATCGCTTTGATCAAGCACATTGGAAACTCTGAGTTGCAGCAGACTTATAAATTGAAATTGTAGATATATATTATAATGATGTACCTTTCAAGTTTGTTGTGAGATTAAAAAAGGGACTACATACATAATTCCTCAACACAAGACTAGGATAAAAGTAAAATAAAACATCTGCTTCCTTGTTGCTACTTTCAGAGTGGAAAACTTAGCAAAGAGCTGGACTTTGTGGGTCACAGTGTCCGCACTAAGTTAGATGAACTGAAGAGACAGGAGGTGTCCCGGCTCCGGATGCTCCTGAAAGCCAAAATGGATGCCACGATGGAACAAGGTGAGCTGAGATAGGAGGGTGTTGATGGTGGGATTCCTGCAAATGTTGAGGACAGAGAACGTGTCAAGCCCCAATCCTGGGTTCTATTGTTGTAGTGTCATTAGTTGGATAGATGGACAATAGCTGTTTGGTGGCTGGTCATTCCTGCTATGGAATCATTGTGCAAACAGATAGATCTTGTGACAGCCACTGTGTTATTTTAGCTTTTAAATTCCAGATAAGTTGCCAGATAAATTAATAGATGAGAGAATTTGTAATTCAGGATTGAACTGAGGAGAGTCCTTAATGGTCTCTGAACTTAGTGGTTTTCTTGCAGACATTTCATTACCAAACTAGGTAACATCATCAACGCACTGATGATATTATGCTAATGGTAATGAAACTAAGTTTCATTACAGTGGTAATGAAACTAAGGATCCCACAGATAAATTAATAATATAAATTAATGCTTGGATTAACAGTTCTTAACTGCCTCTTTAATATCCTGAGGCACAAGGGGAAGCCCGTTGGCAGTAATAGAATATTAGAAAAAACTGATTTGAACACAAACAAACCACTTTTCATCAGTTAGCCAAATAATCATGTTAACACTAATAACTTATAATGATTTGGCTAAATGATGAAAAGCGGCTGGTTTGTCTTCAAATTACTTTTCTCTAATATTCTATTGCTGCCAATGGGCTTCCCCTTGTGCCTCAGGATATTAAAGGGGAGTGGAGGCAGGGGTGAAATGCTCCCGGATCGGACTGGATCGCCCCATCTGGTAGCTATCTTGGCTGGTGATTCGGCGATCTGGTAGCGAAGGCAGAGCAAAGCTCCCCCCACCCGCCCGGGTGTCATTACTTCCTGGTTTTAACCAGGAAGTAATATGTTTTTTAACCACATTACTTCCTGGTTTTAATCAGGAAGTAATGTGTGTGCATGCGCATGTGACACACGCACGCCCTTCCGAACCAGTAAGGAAGGTAAGTAGATTTCACCCCTCAGTGGAGGGGACTTCATTTCAAAGGACCCATCCTCAAAATCTAGTAATCAAAGATGTCCTGTTCTTTAAGAAAAAAAATATATTGATAGAAATCAAGTAACCTTTCTTGAATGTGCTAAGCCATAGTTTAATTTATCTGGCTTTCCTGTAGCCTGTTGTGTGAACCTAGCATTCAGTATTCAATAAACATTTAAACAAACTCTGGTGTAGTGCAGTATATGAGCCCCAGTATTTTCTGGTTTCTATTTAAACATAAAATCTGAAACTAATCTTCATCTCCGTTTTTCCTCCCTTCCCATCAGATGTCCAGGTAGATCACCTGGCTTTATTGAAGCAGTTTGAACATCTGGACTCGCAAAACCAACACACATTTGAAGCCCGAGATTTGGAGCTGCTCATTAAAGCCGTATGTTGGATTTTTAAAAAAAAAATATTTCAGATTATTAAACCTTTGAATCTGTTTTGCATACTCTGTCCCGCTTCACCTCTCTATATTGTAGTACAAGCCCAGGGCGTATTCTCTCTTCCTTTTTTTCCTCTCCCTTGCTCAGACTTTGCAGAACAGAGAAGGGAAGTGGTGAGAACTGCTTAGAAGGCTTGGGGCTTGATTCAAAGCGGTTGCAGGATTGATCTTTTTTACTTTTCAGCTTCATCTGATGCTCAGCTATTGAGGTTGTTGGAGTGTCTGGTTAGGTCAGTGCCAAAATGGAAGCCCCTGCCTCTAGATCCAAAATACAGAAACACTCTATAGATAATCCATGCTACTTCCTCCTACTTCTTTTCTATTTCAGAAGCTCTAATCGGAAGATTAAAACTTGTATTTTTTCATTTACCTCACCAAACAACATCTAGAGTTTTTAATAAAATATTGTCCAGTTTGGTGGTTGCTGTAGTCGATGGAAGTTTGGATCCAAAGAGGCTGGAAGACACAAGGCTGGAACAAAGTTCCTTGGCCACTGATATATGTTTATTTTGAAGATAGGAGCAATATTAATATCTCCATGTTGTAGAGAAGGCAACAGGTGAATGCAACAGATTAGCTGAAGATTACTCAGGGAGTTTAATAAACTGAATGCCAAAACTCAAATGAGGGACTACTCATAAATGTGAGAAATACAGATAGGCCTTGATTTGCAACCAATTGCCTTGGTAAACGACCACATTCCAGGTGCTCGGCAATCAGCTCACATTTATAACTGGTTGTAGCATCATATGGTCACATCATCATGTTTTGTGACTTTTTTTACTATTTTGGGGCAAAAACGCCCATTTGGAAGGATGGATTCAGAATTGTGACCGTGTGATTCACATAATGACTGACATAAAAACAATTGTAAAATTGGGTCCAGTCACATAGTTGCCTCAATTTACAACCATCACAACTTAAGACCAAAATTCCAGTCCCTCAAAAGCAGAGGACTATATGTAAATAAATACAAATTTTAGTCATCATTGTATAAGGGAGGCTGTTTTAATCTGGCCTTGATAGGCCTGGTCTCAGGCGATGCTGTGGTCTCCAGCAGAGATTAGAGGCAAGTGAAAGTGATGCAATTATCCTGGATAATTGCATCACAATCAAAATTATCCTTTTATAATCCCCCCCATCCAGGATGTGGGATGGGGGGGATTATAAAAGGAAGATGATTTTGTCCCATGCCTGTAATGTTGGCTCTTGCTTTTCTGTCTTTCTCCCACAGGCTACCAAGGACCTGGAGAATTACGATGCAGCTCACCATGAAGAATTCAAACGGTATGAGATGATGAAGGAGCATGAGCGTCGGGAATATTTGAAGTCTCTGGATGAGGAGAAGCGTCGTGAGGAAGAAGCACATTTTGAAGAGCTCAAGAAGAAGCACAAGGAGCACCCCAAAGTCAATGTCCCGGTAAGGGAATCTCTCTTGGGCTTCCAGGGGTTTGGAAAGGGATTGCTTATTTTGACTTGAATTGTCCCAAAGGTGCTTTTCCAAAAGTCTTCTGGATCTTCTCCTTTCCAAGAAAGTCCAGTTGCCTTTTGGAAAAGCAACGTTGGATAATCATAACCTGGATGTCCCAGAGGTGTTTTTTTTTCTAGGAGACAACTGGATGTTGGTTTCTCTTCGAAGACATTTCACTTCTCATCCGACTATCTTCTTCAGCTCTGAAGAACTGAAGAAGCTTCTTGGATGAGAAACGAAATGTCTTCAAAGAAAAACCAGAAAGTCCAGTTGCTTCTTGGGGAAAAAAAAAAAGCACCTTTGGAACAATCATGGCCTGATAACTAAGAATCTCCATAGACATTTGGTTTGAGTTCCTCATTATGTTCATGCAGGGCAGCCGTGATCAGCTCAAAGAAGTCTGGCAGGAAACGGATGGTTTGGACCCCAATGAATTTAACCCCAAGACGTTCTTCAAGCTTCATGGTAGGGAATTCTGTATGTGTAGTTCTAAAACAACTTGTCAGGGAATTGCACAACTGGTATCCAAATGAAGTCATAGACACTGAAACGTAGTTTAATATGAATAAATAAATATATTTTACATCTACATATACACCAAACAAGATAGTCAGGTAAATAGGAGCATCATCAGGTAAATCAGAGCACGCAAGGCACACAGAAGAAAAAGGTGGGAAAAAAGGGAAATTCCCCCTCCACGCCCAGAGCGACCAATCACAGTACAGATTTAGCCAGCACTTTTCAACCATTCAACTATAACTGTGTTCTGGCTCATTCTACAACCCCACTGCTTCAGCTGTGCTAAATTTAAATATCTTAACACAACTTCTGGCCTCTAGTATGGGGGAAGCCTAATACAAATGAAGTGAAGGTAACTGATTAGAAATAAATTAACTACCCCTTCTCTTATGTCCCGGTTCTTCTTTGTGGCTTCTGTGAGACATAAATGCCCTTAAACTTTAATTTCAGAGTATTGTTTACGAAAGGAGTAGCCAATTCACAGTCTGGATTTCTGATGCAATAGGAAACTTTTTCCCCACATTAATGAATATATTTTCCTGGTAGGTGGGATCTTAAATAGAAAGAACTAGTAGTCTAAGCATATACTTTACAGATAGTCCTCGATTTGCAACCTTTTAGTTTAGTGACCGTTCAAACTTAACATGGCACTGAAAAAAGTGACTTATGACCAATTTTCACACAATCATTGCAGCATCCCCATGGTCATATGATCAAAATTTGGATGCTTGGCAACTGACTCATATTTCCTGACAGTTGCAGTGTCCTGGGGTCATGTGATCACCTTTTGGGGAAATCCAGATTTGCTTTACGCCTGTGTTACTGAATTAACAGCTGCAGAGATTCACTTAACAACACTGGCAAGAAAGGATATAAAATGGGGCAAAACTCAAGAGGAGGTCAACCTATTCTCCAAAGCACCTGAAGGCAGGATAAGAAGCAATGGTGGAAACTGATCCAGGAGAGAACCAACCTAGAACTAAGGAGAAACTTCCTGACAGAATAATTAATCAGTGGAACAACTTGCCTCCAGAAGTTGTGAATGCTCCAACACTGAAAGTTTTTAAAAAGAGATTGGACAACTATTTGTCTAAAATGGTATAGGGTTTCCTGCCTGAGCAGGGAGTTTGACTGGAAGACTTTCAAGATCCCTTTCAACTCTGTTATTCTATTCTGTTCAACAACTGTCTCACTTAGCAACAGAAATAATTGAGCTCAATTGTAGTTGTACATCAAGGACTACCTGTACATGGCTCCTGAATTGAGATGTCAGCAATTCTGGCTTATACAGGTAGTCCGTGACTTAGATCCATTCTTTTAACAACCATTTGAAATTATAATGGTGCTGAGGAAAGTGACTTATGTCCAGTCGTCCTCCTTATGAGTGTTGCCATGTCCCAAAGGTCATGTGATCAAAATTTGAGTTCTTGGGAACTGGCATTTATTTACAAAGGTTGCAGCATCGAGGTGGGGGTGGGGGGTGTCATGTGATTACCGTCTGTGACCTTCCCAGGAAACTTCCAACAAACAGAATCAATGGGGAAGCCAGTTTTGCTTAATGACTGTAATTTGCTCAACAACTGCAATAAAAGTTTTAAAATCAGATACAAGTCAATGACCGCATTGTTTAGTGATAGGCGTTCTGGTTCCAGTTGTGATCGTAAATTGAGGACTAGCTGTCTCTGAGTGTAGCTGGCAGCATACTTTGTTCTAGCTCTAGCATATTGGGCCAGCTCAAAACAAAGTTCAGTCCCCCTTGCAACATCTTTCCAACAGACGTGGTTTTGAGGGTGAGAAAAGATCACATTTGATGTTCTTCACTCCCATTCTTCCCTTTTTTTTTTTTCACCACCAGACACCAATGGTGATGGGGTGCTGGATGAGCAGGAATTGGAGGCACTTTTCACTAAGGAGGTAAGTTCTTAGTCTTCCTGATATGACAATCCTACAGATTAGACAACTCATGTGCTTTAGTGATCCTCCATTTAAAAAAATCAGAGCAGTCTTGCTATCTGGACTATCAGCTCAGAGGTAGAATGTATATTTTGCATACAAAAAGTGACAGTTCAATCCCCGGACTTTTTTTCCCAGGGAGTGGAATTTAGGGAAAGGCAGTTGCGACATACTAGGTGTGCACCAGCTAAAGAAGTCTTCTTTTTGCAGCTGGAGAAGGTTTATGATCCCCGAAATGAGGAGGATGATATGTTGGAAATGGAGGAAGAACGGCTGCGCATGCGGGAACATGTCATGAAGAATGTAAGTGTATGAACTTTGGGATGAAGATATGACACCTTCTTTGTGTACAAAGCAGGCAAAGGAAATTTGGGTCATCCGGGTCCTAAGTCCCCTTTTTTTGGGTCCATCATAAAGGTTGCAAGTTAAGGACTTGTATGAGATCAACAGTTGACAAGTTCTGGGTTGTTTATTGAGGCACACTAGAGGACCTCTGGATTAGTATTTTTTCCTAGGAATGACCCCAAAATCATAATGAGAGGCTTCTCATTGTTAGCCTATTTCAGATAGAGAAAGATTCCTGTGTTAATCAGCTTTTTTATAATCGGTCAGAGCCTTATAATGTGGGCTGTGTATCTTACACCAGGTCAAAGGGCTTCCTCAAACATGATAAGCCATAATGTGATTTCCTTTTGGCTTAGGATATGGGAACCTGGCCATTGTGGCTATAACTATGGTTTATGTTTAGCTCAAGTGTAGAAAATCTTTTTTGGGTGAGAGCTATCCTGGCCAGGATTTGGACATCGTAGTATCAAGTGTGAACCCTTTCTAGAACAGGAATTATTATGCTAGTCCATATTCCAGGTTTGAAGGGATATTTGATGGAATGTATAGGAGAGCAATTGCTGGCTGTGATGTTATTACATTCAGTGTATAATCAAAGGTAAATATGCTAAGGGAGGAATTCTGGGAGTTGAAGTCCTTCTTGAAGGCTAAGATTTAGAAACACTGTTCCAAGGAAACCTAACTCTGTACAAGCTTAACCATTCTATCTATCTCTGTCTGTCTTGTCTGTCTATCTCTCTAATTAAGTTTGTAGAGAGTTAAATCTCCTTGGAACAATATTTCTAAATCGTAGCCACTTCAAGATGGATTTTGGGTGGGTGGATGGATGGATGGATGGATGGTTGGATGGGTAAATAGATGGGTAGATAGATAGAGATATTTCCTCTTCTCCCAAAATCTATTCTCGTCTGATCCCTTGCCTGGGGAAGAGAACAAGAGACTTGTCTTTCTTTTCTTGTTTCATTTTTGAGAGCTTGCAAAGCGCAAAAAAAAGGCATCTTTTCTGCATTGGCTGTTTTTCAAAGCTGGGCAGAAAGAAAACTAACCCTGCATATTGATAGGGCTAGTGGAGACCAATTTATTGGGATTTTTTTTTTTCCCAAACAAACCCCTTGGTCTTCAAATGGATCATAGGTTATACTTTAACATTAAGGTAGGAGAGCTAATTCCCCCCACCCTAGCCTAGTCCAGTTCACTTTTTCCTCAGGAAAAATAGTTCTTTCACTTCTGTTATGTATTAACTGCAGCTGCTGTATATTTGACCCTGAAACAAAGTCTGGCTAATCATTAATGATGATGGTTATTGGAAACAAGTGAATTTTTAACTATGTCTGGGAATGTCTGGGACAATTCCAGTTTTTATTTTCCAGATTGATAACTTAATAGTGCCAACCAAAATGACACAAAAGGTGTGCAGAATGTAGTTCCCAATCTGCATCAAAGAAAGATCTTAAAGAATCCCCAGTTTAGTCTGTAGAGATTCTGAGTCATCCACGTCATGGTTGTCTCAAAGGTGCTTTTTCGGGAGGCAACTGGACTTTCTGGTTTTTTCTTTGAAGACGTTTCACCTCTCATCCAAGAAGCTTCTTCATCTCTGACACGATAGTGGGGAATGGAAGGATTTATATTTATATTCCTTGCAGACAGATGGTCATTTGCATTCTTTTAGAGAATCGTTGAGGCCACTTGGAGGTTTGTCTGTGTCCTAAGGGTCACCTGAGTAGTGCAAATGGGTGTGGAGCCTTCTTGGCTGCAGGATGAGAGTCCAGTTGCCTCCTGAAAAATCAAATTTGGGACAACCATGATCTGGATGGCTGAAAATCTCTACAGACTTTTACCTCTACAATTTGGGATGAACAACATTTCCAGGGAAAATTTCCAGAGAAAAATTGCAGACTATAGGAAGTAGGAGCACTACTCAGGTGACCCTGAGATCACAGATAAACCTCCAAGTGCTTCAACAACCCTCTGAAAGGATGCAAATGACCAGCTGCTTGCAAGGAATATAAATCCTTCCATTCCCCACTATCCTGTCAGAGCTGAAGAAGCTTCTTGGATGAGGAGTGAAATGTCTTCAAAGAAAAAACAAGAAAGTCCAGTTGCCTCCTGAAAAAGCACCTTTGGGACAATCTCCAGTTTAATTCTCATTCTGCTTCAGAAAAACTGGTGACGCATCCTATTAACAGATAGATCAATATGTCTGGTTTTGTACAGTGAGCTAAAATATAAATCATGGTTTCCAAACTGGAGTCTCTTTGACTCCTACAATGCAAGTGAAAGCTACTTATATCTTGTAATGACATATACTTAGCTGCCTCATACCTACATGTTCAACTACTGTGAAAATATGATAATAGGTGGGGCTTTGCTCAATCCAGCATGACTCTATTATACTTTCAATGTTGGATTTGTTTGGATATACTTCTGGGTGTAACATAACTCTGTGTTTACTTCTGGCTACTATTTGTGTAAAAAGAAAACATACATTCTAAATATTGCCACAGCCCTTGGTTGTAGTTAGTAAAGCACCCCTGGTCTGGGCTTTGAGAAAGGGAATGTCCCCTGCAGCTGAATTATAACCCAAAGCAGGTAGGGAAATTGAATGAATCCTTAGTTATTTTTTGAGACTTCTCAAAATCTACTAGCCTTGGTAGGGAAAATACAAAAGGAACAAGTGAATTTTTAACTATGTAACTAGTGATTACATTTTTAACTAGTAACTAGTGATTACATTTTCTTTTCTCCACTTGTTCTCCTGAAGGTGGATCTTAATAAGGATCGGCTGGTGACTCTGGATGAGTTTGTTAAATCGACTCAGAGGAAGGACTTCAATGAAGCTGATGGATGGGAGGTGTGTGAAACAACATCATCAATTGAAGTTGAACCCTTCAGATGTTGGTCTGAAGGGTTGAGAAAACATTTTGCTAGCAGCAAGTGGTTAAGATTTTTTCCCAGCAATTACACATACCAATCTTTCGGACTTCAACTCCCATATTCCCTGATTAGTATAGCCTTAGAGAAGTGAGTTGAATTCCAGAATACTGGAAGAACTCTAGGTTGGGATAAGTTATGATAAACTTTCTCCCTCTGCAACCAGAGATTGTCCTCTGAAAACATGTCAGAGAAGCTAATCTCTGGTTCACTTCTGTGGTTTAAATTCTCTAGTCTGGCTGGGGAATTCTGGGGGTTGAAGTCTAGCCTTCTTAAAGCTGCTAAGGTTGAGAAATATTTTTCTATAAAAATTTAAAAGGCACCAAGCACACTTAAGTCAGGAGGCAGTTTTTGGTGGCTGCTAGTCTTAATAGCTCTGGTTGTAGCAACAAAGGCCAGAGGCCTCTGAATATTGATTAATAAAGAAGATGGACGGAAACATGCTGTCTTGGCTGCATCCAGCTTTATGTATCACTTCAAGGTAGTCTAAATAAGAAACCCAAACCATGAGTCCTAACACTACTACTATTGTAAGATTATAGTAACAGAGTTTTGCAAGTGTGAGAGTACTCCTCCCTTGCCTTCGCTTTCTGGAGAACTAAGGAGGGTCTCTTCTGAGATGCCTTCCAATCCTTCAGTGGGCTGGGATATCTCTTTATCTAACCATTGTCTAGGCTGAAGCTCCTCTTCCTGCATCCCAAAGTCATTTGCACACACCCCTAACACATTTTAAACTTCCCAGTGTTGATTGGCCATTTGGCTTCTATAGAGGTGCTAGACTAGATGGATAATCCAGGAAAGCTCTCCTTATAATCTTATGGCAGAGAAATCACTTGTTTTATCAGGCCTGATAACCCCGAAGGAATATTTCCAGGGGAACGAACATCTAAAAATGAATCAGGGTAAGAGCAAATTCATTCTAGATAACGCTTGATTGTTCTGCTGAGCTGAGTTAAAAAGCAGCTCATGTACATCATGTTATGTAACTCCAGATGGCTCACAGATTTGGTATTCTTGTTCTTAAGGCAGTGTTCGGTCTCTCTCATATTTCTCCTCCTATCTAGACAGTAGAAGAAACACAGATCTACTCAGAGGCGGAGCTCCAGCGATTTGAGGCGGAGCTTAAAGCTCAGGAGGAGGAGTTAAGCCGACGAGCTGAGCAACTTCACCAGGAGCACAAAGAGCTCCAGCAGCGGCAGGTGGAACTTGATGCTCAGAAGAAGGAGTATCAACAGGTAGAGAATATTTTAACAGGAAGGATACACATTGTAGCACGGAAGTCGAAACACTCTGCTCCCTTTTGATAAGGGGAAACAGAAGTCCCATGTAATGCTGACATATATATATATATATATATATATATATATATATATATATACACACATACACACACACCAATATGGGATCCTGTGATTTCCAGATATAGTTGAACTATACAACAGTGTTTCTCAACCGTGTCAACTTTAAAGTGTGTGGAGTTGGTCCACACATCTTAATACAGTAACAGAGTTGAAAGGGACCTTGGAGATCATCTAGTCCAACCCATTGCTCACACAGAAGACCTATACTAGGGATTCGAACTGCCAACCTTTCTGATCGACAAGCTCAGCATCCTAGCCACTGAGCCATCTAGCTAACTTAAAGTTGGCAGGGTTGAGAAACACTGCTCTATAGCAGGGATGTCAAAGTCAGGTCGTCACAGCAGTGTCACGTGACATATCAGGACTTTTATCCCCTTTGCTAAATCGGGCATGGACGTGGTCAGCATGTGACGTATCCAGCCCGCCGGCTATACTATGCTTAGTAGTAAGGAATGATGGGAGCTATAGTTCAGTAACATGGATGACTATAAATTTCCTTAGGATCTTTTTATAGGGAGTGGTTTCTTAGTGTGAATTTCGAATTAAAACAAATACCTGAACCAAAACCGTCAAATTGTGAAAGTCCCTGAACTCAACCCTAGTTAAAGCTTACATAAGCATTTGCAAATATTGGCTCACAAGTTATCTTAAAGCAGCACTTGTATTTTTAAATGGAAACTAGGAAGCAACTAACCACCAAAAAAAATGCTAACCTCTTCTTTACTAACTGGAATTTCACTAAAAGCAGAAAATTAAATCTATGTTATCAAACATGAGATGATTGGCATTTGATATTATTGCAGGCCAGCATTTATTATACTTATATATACTATAAAGGTTGTTTGAACCCCTTCTTAAGTAGACAGACCCTTGTATTCTATCCTCAGCACTGCTCAAACAAACGTGGCCCAAACAGATCACGTGCTTTCCATTCATAAATTGAATCATGGGAATTTCCCCAAAAAGTGTCTCATTGTAACATGCCAGGTGTCCTTAAGTGGGGCCTTCAGTTCTGAATGTTTGTTTGCTGCAATATGGGACCAGCATTCAGAATAGAGATTAGAATAGAGAACCTCTGAGTTGCAGGTAACCTTCTGGCACTTCTTTTATGTATGCCAGAGAATCTTCAGTAGGCAGAGCCCAAACTTTTAGTCTGCTAAAAAGCCAAAGGATTGCTTTGTATCTTATGGCATTCCTTTCACATTCCCATCCCTTCTAGGTTATGCTTCAAATGGAACAGAGAAAATCTCAACAACTTGATCAAGTCTCCCAGGTTGGTCCTGGGGGAGAACTGAAGTTCCAGGCACAGCCGCCTCATGCAGCCCCAGCAGGTAAGAGCCAGAAAGCTATGATTTTTGGGGAAGAGAGGGCAATTTAGGCCCATTTGAGAGAGGAAAAAGATTGAAAGACCAGAATTCTGAGTTTCATCATTGTAAGATAAAAATGGAATTCTTTGGTGCAAGAACTCCATCTTTACCTTATGGAGTTAGGTAAACTTTGGAGTTTTTGATTGCTAATATTCATGTTAATTGTATTTATGTATTTGTAACTCAACTCAGTATAGGCATAGAATAAAACAGTTGATGAGGCAATAGGTCCTTGGTGTTTTCTGAGCTTGGTTATTTTCTTGCAGATGTTTCATTTCCAAACTAGGTAACATTCTCGGTGCTAATAGGGAATGGGGTTTGCTCACATTTTATATACTAGTGGCTTCACCTGTCAATGTTGGTGGGAGTAGTCCCAGTTCCTTGATTGGGCTGCTGTTTACTGCTAGCCTGTTTGGCAATGCCTCAAGACCACATAATCCAAATAATGCTCTAGGTTCTTATTTAGCCCCAAAGTTGCACCTTCCTTATTGCATATGGAGGCTAACACCAGGCTTCATTCAAAGATTGTTAGGATATCTGTGTAAACCTTGGGGGTCAAAGAACCATTGAACTTTAACTGCTGGCCAAAAGAAAATATAGAAAATCAGGGCAAAGGGAAAATAGAATAAGGGTATCCTGAAAAGTGTCGTTCTATCCCATCCCATTTTCTGTCTAGCTGCAGATCTTACTTATTCTAGCTTAATTTAGCTGGGTCTGCCTTCAATCTCCTACGGTATTTAGAACCTTGACCTGGATAACATTTGTCCTGCAGTTTGGGATGACCAAAATGTCTGGAGAGATCCTGATTTAGTAAAAGCTAGAATGTCAATTTTTTTAAGTGAATGTGAGAATCAGAATTCTAATATAGGTTCTCATTCACTGCTGGGATATGCTGGAAGCAAGCTGGTTTTCTCATCAGTTGATAGAAGTGTTCATAAAAATAATGCTTTGCCATCAGTCAGCCTTTCTGCCAAACATTATTGAAAAGGCATCCTTACTCTTCTTTTCTGCGGGAAGTTAGGTGTGAACTGCTTTAGCTTCAACTAAACAGGTCCTCTGGCACAAAGAAGAGCTGGAAGCTTAACCTTTGCAGCAATAAGTTACCCTTCCCTCCTTTTTCTAAAGAAGAGGTAATTAAAAGTTTGCTAGCTGGTATTGTATGTTCAAATTTTTTTTTGCCATATGCTGCTGCCATTTAAACTATTATTATGCTTTAATTACTTCCCATTTGTCTGGTAAGATGTTCAGTAAAGGTGCAGCCCTATTTTTTACTCTTCCAAAAATCCTGAAAGTTCATGTTTGTTAAAATGAAGAGATCAGCTAATGCCCAGTGACTATGGGATGGCTGGTTGCACATCACTCCACAGGGTGGCAGTGCAGGTTCCCATAAACCAAATTTATAAATTCATAGAAAGGATAGGAACTCAAATGGGGAATCTGTGGTGCTACAGTTATTGCTGGGTTACAGCTCCCTGCATTACTGACAATTGCTGTTGGGGCTGTTGAATATTATAGTAATCAATACCTGAAAACCCATCTGTTTCCTGACCCTTGCTAAGTTCAGGGTACAAACACCAGACCATATTCATAAGTCTACTTCTGTGAAGAAACTTCTAGAGAAGGTATCCCTCAGGAGTTGGTTTCACTCCCAAACTTGTGGGTGGGTAGGTATTTGGAGGAATAAGGTTCTTCAGGTGAATTGCAGCAGTGGGTATAACACCAGTCTCTTTTCTCCAGATCATGCTTCTCCTCCTGGGTCCCAGCCAGGAGCCGCCGGAGCACCAGAGCATGATTCTCAGAAAGACCAAACAGAAGCTATTCAAAACCAAGCACCCCGAAAGATTGCTGTCCAATAGAACACGGTTATGGTGTGCACCGAGGGGGTCCTGTATATTCTTCTTTTCTCATTGTCAGGGCATCTAAATCAAACTTCACCCTAGGACTGTGGAGGAGGGACCATGCAAGGCAATGTTTACAAGAGGAGAATGCTTACTAATTGTCCTCTGCACCCAATCCTCCATTTATTCCAAGCAAGCAAATATTTTTACCAAACCAATGACTCTCTTGGGGATACCTTAACAAAGGGAAATAATTAAGCGAAGAAATAGGAATGGCTTTGCCGTTCAAAAAGTTGGGGCAGGCAAAGGAGAAGGAAGTAAAGGTTAGACATCCTGACATTCTCGGGTAATTTTATCCTACAATTTCAGAAATGTTTATGGGTAAATAAAAGGGAAAATAAGGGAATGAGTATAATGCCTCATAAATAGAGTATTGTGCTTTGCCCTCTTTCCTCTTTATCCACAGTTGGTTCCCAGAAGTTCAGTGTTGAGAGCTGCTGGGTTTTGTTTTAAAACAGTTTGGTTTCCTTTTATTTAATAAATCGAACCCCTTGAAGTCTTTTCTGCATTTTTTCAACCGGTGCACCATTTTCCCTTTGCATATGACATGGTTTCAGCATCTGTATACTTGACAGGGATTTTTTGCAGTTGTGTCAGAAGCACTGAGGCACTTCCCGGATGAAAAAATTAGCTGGTGTCATCACTGTTGCCCTGGGGACTCCTTGGGGGCTCCTTTTATGTCCCTGGCAGGACCTGGAGTGAAGAACAAGAGCTCAACCCCACACCATGGCAGCTCTTGGGTCTCAAACATGGGCTTGCTAACCTCCTGTCCAGCGTTCCAACCTCTTGAGCCACTGTGCTCCTTACTTGGCAGTATGTCTTACTGAGTATGTAAAATTACTCACCATATGAAAAAGAGCATTTTGAGTGAATGGTCACTGACATTTATTTTTATTTTTGCTACAACTTCCTTTAGCCTGGAAGACAAAAATAATTAAAAAGAGCCCATTTCTTCCTATCTTGGCTTCTGTAATACTTTGCCCATCTTATATAGATAGTCCTTGACCTACAACTACAGTTGGGTCTGGAATGGTGCAATCAAGTGAGTTACATCTTTTTGCTGAGTTTGTAAGCGAATCACCATGGTCATTAAACGAATCTGGCTTCTGCCCCCCCTTCCCCCCATTGACTTTTTTTATTGGAGGTCTCCGGGAAGATCTTAAATGGCAATCACCGGACCTTGGGATGCTGCCACTATTGTAAATACATGCCAATTGCCAAGTACCCAAATTTTGATGATGTTGCCGCAGGGACACTGCAGTGGTTGTAAGTGTGAGGACTTATGTGTAAGTATAGGTGTTGTTTGAAAGTTACTTATTTGGGTGAGTACTGGAAATGGAAGCCCACCCATCTTCAAGTCGCCACGGTCGAGATACACTGCTCCATCCCATATACCCTAGGAGGTCTCTTTTTGAAATATTAGCCAGAGCTAGTTGGGCTTTAGTTCCCTACAAAGTGGACCACATTTTGCTACTTGCTAAGATCCCTGGAGGAGGTGCAGTACTCCATAATCACCTACAGCAGGGTTGTCAAACTCTTGTTGTCACGGCAGTGTCACGTGACATATCAGGACTTTTTTTCCCCTTTGCCAAACCGGGTATGGGCGTGGCCAGCACGTGACACATCCGGCCCACAAGTTTGACAGCCCTGACCTACAGGCTCTGGGAAAAAAGGATCAGTAGCTGCCCAACAATCTCATCCTGTCATTGGATGGAGTTTGAATCAGCTGTGAATCACAGGAGCCTGTGATACTGTACTATATGAATAAGTTCTTGGCTGTCTTTTTCACAGGCAGGTCCTCCCAAAGGAAGGAAGGTGAATTTCGTGGGAGTAACCGAGAGCAATGATGTCCTTTCCCGAGTTGTACAGGGAGTGCAGCATTCCCAGGACACCTACATCATTCTAATGCCCTAAAAAGCTTGTACATGCTTGCTTTAAGTATGGTTCCTACCCTAAAGTTTCCCATCTCTATGATTGCACAAGTTTAAACAGCCAATAGGTGGTGGTGGGAAAGAGGTAAAGGAAAAGGAGCTTTATACTGACATCTAGCTGGTGTCCTGATTTGTGCAGCCCAAATATGCAAGGCCTAGCTTTTGACACATGGAAATGTACAGAAATGATCCCGGAGAAATAATTAGGCAATGTGCAAGAGAGATATTAAAAACCCTACCTGCTTTGCTGTGTTGATTGAACTTTGAACTTGTGGAATGTTTTCAAGATTAGGAGGAGGAGATTCACCTCTGATCCTGGAACTTATTTTACTGATTCCAATTATTCAACTGGGCTTTTAAGTGATATAAACCATGGCAAATTTTAAATACAGTCATACCTTGGCACTCGACTGCTTCAAAAGCTATTGAATTCAGTATTCATTTTGAAGCAGAAACCTTGTTTTATACTCTTTTGTTTTTCTCCTTGTAGTCAATGTGCAAGGAAGAACTTGCTAACATTGGCTGCCTCGTGACTCGCTGTTTTTTCAGCCAAAATAGCACGTGGTTTTCTCAGTACTTGTCGGTTTTGGTATTTGTCCCATCTTCCAGAATGAATTACTGACAAGTGAGGTACCACTGTGAATGACCTTGGTTTTTTTAAAAAATAACATTGAAAAAAACATTCATATAATTTAAGCTTTGATTGTAAAACTTTTAGACTTAATATTATAGTTTATAATAATAGTTGCAAATAGAAATAAAATGATTGGTGGCAAAAAAAAAAAAAGCAAAGGGAGTAATAAGTGCCTTAGGTGCAATCCCAAAATATTTGGAGCATCATTTGAACACCATCAGCATTGACACAATTGCCAATTGTAAAAGCTTTACTTGGAAAAAGGTTACATCCTATGACAATACTGGTAGTCTTCAACTTACGGTTATTTGTTTAATGTCTGTTTGATGTTTGACAATGGCATTGAAAAAAGGGACATAATCTTTTTTCCACATTTATAAGAGTTACAGCATTCTCATGGTATGTGATCAAAACTTGGATGTTTGGCAACTGGCATGTATTTATGACGGTTGCAGTGTCCTAGGGTCATGTGATAACCTTTTGCGACCTGACAAACAACGTCATTGGGGAAAGCCAGATTCACTTAATAACTGTGTTACGAACTTAATAACTGCAGTGATTCCCTTAACAGTGATGGCAAGAAAGATTGTAAAATTGAACTATCTCACTTAGCAACAGAGATGGGCTCAATTGTGCTTGTAAGTTGAAGATAGTCTGTATCTTTGATACTATCACATAACAACATCTATCTGCCTGTCCAAGGATTTAGTGAAGTTCTCAAAAGGTATATAAAATTGCCAAATCTAATCTAAATATTAGATTAGATTTAATCTAATTTGTGACCAACCTTGTTAATAGTAATATAAATATATTATTTAAATGAGCATGAAGGTATTTCTAGAATCCTTCCCAGGGATCCATTGGTTGCAATGGTCCCAGACATTGAGACAACCTTACTAAACCTCCTGTGAGATGGCTATGTCTCTTCCTCCTTTCTCTACACTACCTGCCCATAGGGCAGCTGATGTTATTTCAAACTTAGTTATGACATTATGTCACATCGCCTGCAAAACACTTGCTTAATTGAAATATGTCTTACAACAGTCATTCCAACAATCCAGTCATAGTTAACAACACTTGCTAAAGGAGCTCAACCACATCTATGAAGGAATAATTTGAGAGGGATGTAATGAGCCATAGGAAGCTTATGTTTCAAACTGTAATTATTGATGTATTGTTTTCCATATTTTCACTTAAATGTTCTGAACTGTACAAGCCTTGCAGTTGGTCACTCACTAAATCAGCCTCATTATCTTCCTGGACTTCCACAGAGCAAAACCTGGTCCTTGCATGTAGACATGTGCATGTGTACACACAAATATACCTGTCCTTCTAAGGTACATTATATTGGAAACCAGAGATGATACACCTCCACATGGAACCTGCTAATGATCTAAGAAATGTATTATTCTCTTTGTGGTCACAACCTATTCAGCAACTACTTCTGAGTCAGTGAGAAGAATTAGAACATAGGTCATTATCTTTTTCCCTCATGATTTCTCAGAGGCTTAAGTTATTCAGAGCAAGGAAGAAATGGAGCCACTTGAAAACGTGGACTCAACATCCTTTTGAACCCATATTCCACAGATTCTATAGCAAGAGTTTAAATCAGTGATTGTGGTTTTGTCATGACTGGATCAACCTGAATTGGATTTATACATAATTTCCACAACGCAAGTAAATGAAATGTGATATTAGCCCCAGAGAACAGAATGTACATAATGTGGGTGCCTGTTGGTTCTCTGTTATGGTATGCAGTGTTGTATAAGAAATTTAAATCCGAAAAATAAATTAGGTGTTGGATGAAGAATTCCTTCAAGAAAGAAAAACCTCTCCCATCAGATAAGTGGGCTAACTAGAGACATGAATGAATATATTATGCCAGATCACATCAACCCTTGTCTTGATAAGGTTTCATAGTGAGGGGAAACTAGGGAGACAATGAGTTCTAGTCCTACCTTGGGCATGAAAGCCAGTTGGGTGACTTTGGACCAGTCACTCAGCTGAACCCATCTCATTGGGGAAATAGGAGAAGACAGGAGTATTAAGGATGTTTGACATTTTGAGTTAAATATAAAAATAATAAAGGTAAGATTTAAAAAATCTTATAATGTTGCTTAGAAGTTACATTAGACAAATCTTCCCCCATCCTAGTAATCTCTTGAAGTGTTGGCATTTCATACTATACCCCCATTATCTTTATACTAATGGGCAGTGTATTTCAACCTTGGCTGCTTGAAGATGGGTGGACTTCAACTCCAAGAAGCAGGGTGGGGAATTCTGGGAGTTGAAGTCCACCCATCTTCAAGTGGCCTAGGTTGAGAAACACTGCTGATAGGAATTAATAGTCCAACACATTTGGAGGGTCTCAGAAGGAAACAGGTTGAATGAAATCAATCCAAGCCTCTTCATTCTATTATGTGCTTCTTATTGTAGGGGTGGAAAAATTCTTATAATAATAACACAAAATTTAAACAGGAAGTATTTCCAAATGCTGTCAGAAAGGTAATGAGCTCTATGTAATCTGTTGTAAGGAACAAAGGGTTTGTCAACAGAAGCACCCATGGCTTTCATGTGTTTCTGCTTAATTATATAGACTAAGACAGGGACTGTCAAAAGAAACAAAAATAAGTTGAAGGACATGGGAATGAGTTACTTTAAGGAGTTGTGTGATGGTGTACAAAGAAAAAGAGTCATGAATGAATATGGACCGAATCTGAAATGGAATGACCAAGTTGAATAAAACAAAGGGGCTTAATCAGAGACAATGAAGGGGATCAAGGTACAAAACATCCCATTAAGGAAAAATAAAGTAGGTTAAGAGGAAGGGAAAGACAAAGTAAATTAGGATTAGACAGAGACGGTGAAACTGAATAAGAAAGGTAAATCTTAAGAACCAAAGGCAACATATGAATTAGTACAGTAGTTGCC